ATTATTAAACTTGAATCCTCAAGTTCTCATCTGATATAATTATTACTCACTTCCTTTCAACTTGCTGCCCACTTGCTTATGTGCCTTAGTCAGGTAAAATGGAAAAGAAAGAAAATAAAAAGCACATATGAGTGGATTAATATCAAACGACACCTGTAATTCATGAATGAACGTCACAAGAAGTTCCAAGATTGCCCGCTATCGCTTTGATCATGAAGACCCTTACACGTTCAATCATTACTGATCATTACTTATGTGAAGTTTCCACTTTTTTTTCTCTCCAATTTATTGTCTACTTGACTTTTTAAAGAAAAAATAGTTGAAAATGGTTAATAATAACATAGACTTATAGTTAATAATAACAACTATTTATTTTTATGAAATTATTTACTTAATAACGAGACTTAGGTAAACTAACCTATCTAGTAGTAAGGTTAGTCGCATAGAAAACCTAACCTAACCTATCACTTCTCTTGAATGAACCTTTGATTTCCGGATGTTCGGAAATCCACAGCGCACCACCATCAGTACTTCATTCACTACCTTACACGACAGTTCGGAACGTCATTAGTGCAATTCCGATTGACCGTGTAGGGTCCCCTTAAAAAGTTGAGAAAAACAATTGTCTATAACATAGCTTCAATTTAAACTAATTCTAATGTTTTTTCCATGATTCACCTTGAACATTATTAAATAAAATTATTGGAAATAGTTTGAGTTGAACATATAAAATAAAAATTGACTTTTCTTCCGCTTTCTAAAAATGGTAGAGATCCTTCTTTGACATGAAGCCACTCATATATTTTCATTTTTAATTTTATAATTAATTATTTGTATTTTTGATATATTGTTTAATGTTGAACTTTGTGTTGATTATTTTATGGCAAATAAAAATGTAAATTTTTGTTAGTTGAAAATCTTAAATCTCCGAAAATTCTTCACCGATTGCCTTGAAATTTTGGCTTGATGTTGCATTTAAATATGCGCTTAATTTTATATATCTACTATTATGAAATATCCGGTAAAACTATATATATTTATTAAAACAGCACCATCTGTTGGATGTAACAGCAACACATGCTGTTTAAAATATTTTACGACATCGTTTCAATATTTAAGATTTTCAAATACATTACATACAAGTACATTTCTTGTACATTAGAGCTACCTTCCATCTCCCTCAAAAGGTTTCAGATACCCCTCCTAAGATATTTGATTGCCCTCTTCTTCCTAGCAACGACTTGATTAAATATAGAGTCATAAAAATTGTATTCGAAAAATAAACCTTACTGATGAAAGACACCCTACGGTAAATGGTATAGCCTTATTCCAATGTAATGTTAAAGAAAATAATTTAATCAAAACTATATTAAACTGAAATCAATGAAAAACTGATTTCTAGAACATAAACGGTAATAATTATTACTTAAGGGTTAACTATTTCAAATTTTACTTTTCAGAGCCTCCTGAGTAAAAAAAAAAACGCATTGGTATGTGTCAGTGCCAAGATTATCTCTTTAATGGATATTTGTTTTGCTTCTAATGACTTCCTATCAAATGGAACACCAAATGTGCAATAGTCAAATACTGTTATTCTACAAACTAAGCACCTCAGCGATTTTAATGAGTTTAAGTTTTTATATGTAGTTCTTTCCAGAGAAAAAGTAGAAAAAACGTTATTTATGAAAAAGTGGACAATTTATGGAAGGTTAGTTAAATTCTCTATGAAAAACACTCAGAAACATTCCAACCAGATAGAAATTAATCTTTTTTTTTTTTTTCAAAACTAGAGATGTATTTTAAATTAGTATTATTAATTAGGCACTTCTCTTACGCAAATTATGTCAAATATATACATGACCGATTTTCAAGACGACAGTTTCAAGTTTTTATTTTTCAAACCTAACAAAAATAACACTGAATTTTAAATTTAATTATCTTCAAGTTACTCCAACTTCGGGTCCTATGGAATTTTCATCAAATCATACAATCATTCATTTATTATTTAATATTATATTTTATTATTACAATAAAAACGATGTTAGAAATAGATGAATAGAACGAAACTTGTTTTAATTAATTTTTTTTTTGGCCCACCTCTGGCCAAACTTACAGAGGGAACCCACATCAGGATTTTTTTTTTTTTTTTTTTTTTGTGATCTCAAAAATAAATTCGCTCCGGACCCCGAATGATATAGGTACTGGTTCTGGTGTGCTGAAGAAGTCCGACGAATGGGTCCTAAGTGTTCATTTCCAAGCTCTGATGGCCACCTTGAGGTTGCCGCAGCGAATTTATTAGATTGTCAAGGTACATTTCGCGAGGCTACTGAGAAATGAATATTAATCGCTCTCAGGTGGGAATCAAACCTACAACGTCCAAAACCGGGCATTCTGAGACTCACGCCCCAACGTGCTCTTCCATCATGTCCTCCAATGATAATGGTATACCACTATTTGTAAATGTAGCATTCTGGTTATGTGGTAGAACAAACAATTCTCTTCAAATTTTAACTGTTTACAAAAGAAAAGGTAAACTGAAAAAAAAAATAAAATAAAGAATAAGGAAGCATAAAGCTAACACGTACTAGCTGTTTACCATTAATTTAGCTACGATGTAAACAGTTAATAATATCTGCGGATAAAATAAGTTTACGAACTGTAATTAATTCTATACATTGATCGGAAAATATCTCAGTTTTAGAACGAAGAATCCACGTAACGGGGTTATGCTGACATATCATCCTATTACTGCATTCTGTTATGCAAAGTTCGCAAAATAATACTTAAAAGTGAAATACCGTATCGCTCTCATAGAGAACAAACTCTCCTTGAAGGCAATAAGGACCATTACTAAAGATAATAAGATGCATGATAAATAAGAACAAATTGATAAAAACACCATAGAGCCATAGAAACTGAAAAGTTGGGAGGGATTCAAAGAAACATAAGTTTAAAAACTTAGAAGTAAAGTCTTAATTATCAGTCAAGTCTAAATATTTGTAATAGGAAAATTTGTAAGTCTATATGGGCGATTTTACAAAAGTTATTCATTTAATTGTATTATTATTTGTTTAGCTCCCACATTAGCTGCCTGTGATACGGACCCCTTTTTATTAAATAATTAACATCCTCCAGAAACTTCGTGGATAGTTTCATCTCATCGTAACCTACAACCACTAGCGGATCCAGGATTTAATTTTGGGGCGGGGCTTCAGCCCGAAAGCTTTTTTTTTCGTAAAAATAACGATAATTACTTTAGAAAAAATGGAAGAAACTAACTACCTATATGAAATGGTATTTAAGTGATTCCTAAAGCCCTTTTAAATGTAATTACACGAACAATAATACAATAAGGGATCATTTTTTAAATTTTTTTTCGATAAAACATGGTTATATTTCACCATTTGGGGGGAGGGGCTTCAGCCCCAAAGCCCCCTCCCCGTAGATCCGCCCGCGTCTCATCGTAACCTACAACTATTTTATGTATGAAAACTCTTGGAATTGCGGTGTTTTCAATCTGGAGATCGACAAACTTTGTCTATTTAATTAAGTACTAAAAACTCGTAAATACTCATTTGCTATCCACTTGCATCGTAAGATAATTTGATTACAAAATCGAGACAAAAAGGTGACCTACAAAAATTTTGGTCCGTTAAACCTCGTAACCTCGTTATTTTGATATCTTGGGGAAGTAGGTCACGCCAAACGGCCCAATATTTTTGAAGGCCACATTTTTCTCGATTTTTCGCTCAAATTATCTCAATATGTAAGTGAAAGCAAATAGGTTTTTACGAATTTTTAGTATCTAATTAAATAGCCAAATTTTGCCGATCTCAACATAAAAAACTCCGATATTTTTCGTAAATGAAATAGTTGAGGTTACGATGAGAAGAAGCCATTAACGAAGTTTCAGGCAGATGTTAATAATTTGATAAAATGGGGTCAGTGACACGGACTAATGGTAGAAAAAGATGCGAATGGTAAAAGAAAAACAAAATGTATTCAGAAAATTTCTCCTCGTAATTTAAGTTTTAGAAAACAAGAAACAATGTCGGCAAATGTACAACAATATCTGGTAAATACGTCAGATGTTATAGGATTTTTTTTTGTAATAATCTATTAACCGGAATTAGCATTTCATATCACTAGCGGATCCAGGATTAATTCTTTTGTGGGGGGAAGGGGAGACTATGTTGAATTTGTTTGCATTCATAAGTAATTACTTGTTAACTCATTATTTATATATTTGTACATGTAACTTATGCAATACTTCCAGCTATGTTTCCTGAATGTATGTATTTTTTTCTCTTGAAACTCTTTATTATCAAAATATAATTACTGAGAAACGGTTGTTTTTTTCTCTGTGAATTTGGCTCTTTTCAATAGTACAATTTACCTGTATTATTTATACGTTTTTGGTATACGAGTATGAACGGCTCACAATTAATTTTTAAGTAACCAGTAATTCGACCGTGAATATTGTTTTTGTAGTGGCATTTGAACTAAGGAGACATGTACAATAACTCTCATAATCAGAATTATATAATGCAAAAAATATAAATATTTAAAAGTAAAATGGAAATCAAAGAATCATTGTGTTCGTGAGGCTAACAATTCGTCATGAATTATTCAGTGTTAACTTTTAATTAAAATAATGTCTAGTGAGAAAAAAAATTCTCGAAACATAACTAATATCTTAAAATAGGAAAGTACAAATAAATCCAATTGCTTTCCAGAAATATACAGCGGGGGGGGGAGGTGGTGTTGCTAAAATATGGTTTACTTTATGTCTTATAATACGATCATGTGAACATCAGCATAATTCTGTGTTTGGATAAAACAGCTTTTATTTAATATAAGAAAAATATAAAAAAAGCCCTTATTACTCGTGCAATTTTAAAAATTGTCTATAAAAACAACCTCAATCGATTATAGAATTTATATCGATATATCGCAGCCATTTTTAGGGTGGTTTCTACTGACCTCTTACTTGACTGTGATCCATGGTAGTGACTTCATGTTAATGATTGCTATATCCAATTCATTGTAGTTTATTGTGCCTTCTATGTGATAAGAGTGCCTAAAAATGAATAAGAAGTGTGCCAGGTGTGATAAAACGGTTTATCCTATCGAAGAACTTAAATGTTTAGACAAAGTGAGTATATGAAGAGATGCATTGTGCAAAATTGGTTTTAAAACTGTTTGATATCATTATCATAACCAATGTTTGTATATTTTTTTTTTAATTTTTCTTAATATGTCATCTCATATTAATTTCAATCCATTTGTGAAATTTCACACCCAATACAATTAAACTACTGTTCACTTTTTAGATATGGCATAAACAGTGTTTCAAATGCCAAGTTTGTGGGATGACACTAAACATGAGAAATTACAAGGGGTTTAATAAGGATCCGTACTGTGAAGCGTGAGTATTTGTTATAATAAATTAATATAGAAGAAATTTTAATGCTGTTAGTTTTAATATGTTTTTATACTTTATGCTTCAGCCTTTTTTAGGTCCATTCATGTTGATTAAGTTTTGTTTTTAGTAGTAATAAGTTACAAATTTCCATTTTCATAAGTATTCTTCTATTTTTGTAATGGTCCTATAATTTTTAAATGCTTATTGAAATTGAAATTATGTTGTGACATTGGAATTAATTAAAGTTTGAGTGACTCAGTGTCACTCTCCCTTTCTGAGTTGTTAGCCTGAAAGGAGGTATTAATGGAGAAGAAACTAGGTCATATCCAGCTTAACTTTCTTCTTCTAGACTTCCTTATATGGACAAATATTTGTATATATTTTTGTTTAATGTCCAGGAATTTCTTTTCGGATTTAAAAATAAAGAATTTTTAGTAAATTTGAAATATGAATCAACAAGTTCTTGATGGCCCTGAACCCATATAAACAAAACATCCTTCCTGAGTAATGCTTCAATTTTGGTGTGATGATTCTCTCTGGCCTTGCTCTTTCCTGTTACTATTGTTAAAAAGAGGAAGCTTGTTCGCTTTTTGCACAAATGTACTAAATTAATTTAGTTTTATTAAAAACATGATAGTATTACTTTTTATTATATTTATTGCATCATTGATTTATACTTTTTTAATAAAATTCCAATGTGCAGGCATATTCCTAAAGCTAAAGCCACCACAGTTGCCGAAACGCCAGAATTGAAACGAATTGCCGAAAATACCAAATTACAATCAAATGTAAGTTTTGTTTTAGAATTGTTTACGTGCATTTTATTATTTGACACTGCCCACAATATATATTTATGGTTAACGCTATTTAATTTTTCAGGTTAAATATCATGCAGAGTTTGAAAAAACTAAAGGCAAACTTACACAAGTAGCTGATGATCCTGAGACGTTAAGGATAAAACAGAACTCGAAAATTATAAGGTACTTATTGTTATTTAATAATAATAATTTGATTGCTTTTTTTTTAAGTCAGGATCATATTTTGTGATTTAAGTTTGTTAATATTCCTGATGTTGATTGTCTAGCAATGTGGCTTATCATGGCGATCTTCAGAAAAAAGCAGCTATGGAGCAGAAAAGAAATATAAATGGTGAACAGATTGAAATTGCTGGAAGTGGTAAGTTCATTTTGAACTTGTTGATGATATTAACCTAACCGTTTAAATGGAAATTATGTTTAATTTAATTTTATGGAATTCATAATTTATAACACCAGTTTTAATATATAAAAAGTTATTTTTAACTTGCTCTAACTAAATAATCTATTGAAGAACACTGATTTGGCTTGGTTGATTTTTTTTTTATGCTCCTTATTTGTATTACATTATGTGATGACATTGATTATTTGACAATTTATCATAAATATATAATTTGTAACCTTTGTATGTTTGTTTATCTTATATTCGTCTACATAAATAAAAATGAATAAACAAATTTTTAAAAAATAAAACCTACATTTAAAATGTTTGTGCACCCAATTAAGATTAACATAGTTTAGTTGTTTTATCTAATGAATACGGCTTATTTCTTTTAGAAACTTTTAGTATTTAATTATTTTTATTGCATTGTTTTCAGGCTGTTATAAGGATTGCATCAATTAGACTGTTTATTTGAGGAAATCTTGTAATCTAAATCGATTCATATTAAAATGTTGCATATTGTTTTCTTTTTTAAAGATATTTTAACTTTTTCTATTTAAAGTTTCCTGACTTTCATTATTTTTTGTTTGTGCACATTTTCTTATTAACGATAATATTTAAAATAGAATCTGTCTCATCGGCAATACTTAAAACATCACTCAGAATCAAATTGGATTGGAATTTAATTTGATTGTTAACAGACGTTTGTTATCGTTAATTTTTGCTTAAATTATAAGGTTAAAATTTTTTCTTGCCCATTGCTTATCAACTTAATTTTAGGTTAATATTACAGTTTTAATAAATCTATATATTTTTTCTTATGTTTTATAATATGGTAATATTTTGAGTATGTACTTTATTAAATTATTTAAATTTGTTTATTTTTAAAAATATTTTTATCTTAAAATATTAAATTATTCTTTTTTAACTGTATCATAGTAGATTTTTTCCAAGGTTGTTTGAAATCTGTTATCTCTCTGATCCACTCGTGATAAGTCCTTGGGGATTTATTTATCTGACTGGTAAAATTATCTATTGATCTACCTAAAGCTTGACATTGGTCTATCAATGGTTGACATTATTTATTTGTAAACTGATTTACAATTTAAATATGTCAACAGGAACGTATTAATATTATTATTGATAAATGGATAATTAATGAGTGCAGTAAAACCATGCTCATTTGTTTTAGTCGGGACTGAGACGTCGCCTATTTTGTGTAATAGCTGGATAACCTAAAGTTTAAAAATTTAAAAGACATCTGAAATCAATCTGTAATTGATTTTTGGAAAGAATTTAATTATGATCACCAATTTTAACACTCCAATTTTCAGAGAATCCAGGATGTAATGTGTTAATTAAATTGACACTTTATGATGTGTTACTACCGAATATTAGTTACAACTGCTCATAGCTAGTTATTTTTTAACTTCTAATCTGGTTTTGAATGATGAAAGAAAAAAGGTTTAAAAAAATTAATATTTCCTATTAATATTATATTGCATTTGTTATAGAAAAAGTTAATCATTAACATTTATATTCTTTATATAATTAGGTAATTGTTTAAATCATTATTTCCTATGTTTTAGATGCTGAGAATATGAATGTAAGACAAAGCGATTATGCACCGCCTGCACAAAAACCGACCAGAGATTTCAGTAATGTTCAGTCTGCTAATACTACAAATAATTCACCTTATTCTGCTAGGCAAACATCTACTGTAATATACACCTCCGAGCGAGGGGCTGGTAAGCAGAATTGTATTTTTATATTTAATTAAATATATGATGGAAAAAAATTCAAAAATATACTTAAATTATTATTGAAAGACCTCAAAACTAGGCCTTAATCTCTACTTAGAGGACTTGTTTTATTTCGAATATTACAATAAAATTTTATAATGCTTTATTTCTTCATTATTACTGAAATTAGGTAAGCTCGCCCACTGCTGTACAGTGGGGCACAGATAGCCGATGAAGGTCGAAATTCATTGAGCCTAAGTTTTGATTGGAAATAACGTATATGTCACAAACAAAACTTTTATAGTCGTAATTAAGTAAATATAAATTGTATATGTGACTAAAATTGAATTTTTAAGCAAATTCAAATTTAAAATCACAATTCCTAAGAATTAATAAAAAACTAACAATAATATTACTGAAAAGAAAACCAGAATGAAAGTATTCAAATTTATTTAATCTATTTCCTTAGCATTATACTCAAAATAATTAGACAGCTCCCTCTCTGGCCGAAGTCCCCTCATAATCGTTTCCTAAGTGCAATTTAAATTTCCCTTTTATTTCCTTGTCTTCACAGTCTGAAAATATTTGCATTTGGATATAAGCCACTCTCCTGGTCTACGCCACATTTCTGCAACACAGCCATTTCAAGTTTTTAGCTAAATATGAACATTTTTCTATTATTTGAATAATGTAATCCCAACCTTATTTACATTCTTTAACATTTGAATTCCATTTAGTTCAAATTTATAATTTTTTTCCCATGCAAGTATCTAATTGTGTTTTTCAATTCGAGATTTTTAAAATATTTGTTTAAAGGTAAAAGTTAGGGTCTGTTGACGAACCATTTTACAATAGTCTACCGACCTTCATTTCCATTTTTAAAAATATTAACAAACCTTCAAAAACTTACATACAAATTTATCTATTTCAGTTAACAGCCCTGCCGGGCGGCACATTGGTTCCATCGCAGACCTAGATCCAGTTAATAATTATTACGGCTCGTTGAGCTCAGCAAATACTACAGCTCCTCCTCCTCCTCCTGAACAGTTACAGCGTCATCGTGGTCGAGGGGTAAGTTCTTTAATACATTCTATTGTTATATTAATTTGGGACATTTTATTTTTAGTTAATATTGATCGGAGGGGTGAGCAAGTGAAGGAGGTAGGGATGGTGTTGGTATGATTTTCGATACTTTATCAACTCTTAAGAGCTTTATTAAGTATTATGAAGGTGGTATACTATAGGTACTGTTTACTTCCTAAGAAACATAATGCTTTTTTTAATTATTTTTTTTATGTAAACCCCATATATTTAGTAAAGTGATAAAAACAAAAAATACAGAGCTCCTCTACCTTAGATAGGGAGGAAGCAATAATATGAATTGTTAATAAAATGAGAAAAAAATATACTTTGTGGGGTATACGAAGATGGTATGTACAATATATAATTTATTTTTTAAACTATTAGAACAAAAATTGGGTCTTTTTACTTCTACTTATCTGTATACGTAATATATACAGGGTGACGACCGACCTGGAAAAGTCAGGGAATTTTCAAAACAGGGAGGTCAGGGAATGAAAAGTCGTTTCGAAACTGATATTTTGTATTTAAGTACAATATAAGGTATATATAATATAAATATAAATATAGGTATATGCCTTGGATGTGACAACAACTTTTTCATCAAAAAAACTAACCGAAAGTGGCACTTTACATCAACGGTTATACACATTTTTACAATTTTCTCAAAAACGGCTCCAACGATTTTGATTAAACTCGGCGTATCGTTGTATAATTAAATGGTCTTTAATATCATCGAGGTCTTATCCCCATTGATGTCACTTTACAGAGCTTAAATGCTTGTGTAAGTGTGAACATGTGTTCCTCTAAAGTACTTTTAATTTGGTTTATGTTAAATAGTTAGCTACCCCTCTTTATTAAGAGTTATGAAAAAATGCTAAATATAATTTTTGAAAAATAGTTAAAAAATAGGAAATGTTTATTTAGATCGAAAATTAATTTCCGGAAATACTAGTCAATAGGTATAGGTATAATATATTGTTGGAAAGCAGAGAATTTTAGAAAAAAAAAACAATATCTAATATAGAAAGTAATGGAGAGTGATGAAAAATTATAAATAATAATTTGTCAAAACTAATATTATTTAACGAAAATCACATGTTTTCAAGGAAATTAAATGAAATATACTAACTAAATGAATACTTTTTTTAAGTTTGAAAAACAAAAGTATTTAAAATCCACCTAATCAAGGCAATGACATTGTTTAAAAAAGTATTTTATTGTATTTGTGTTTAAGAAGAAGTGAAATATAAAAATACTTCATGGGTGTATAAAGCATATGTTTATAAACTTAAATACATTTACTGTAGTTTAATAATTCTAAATCTGATATTATATTTAAATAATTAGATATCAACATCCGTTAAAAAAAATAAATGTTTTTATTGAAAATTAATTTGCAGAAGTGAAGTTTAAAATACTCCAAAAATTCATACAAAATTTAGGTTTAACCAACGTTTGTTACTTTTGTGAAACTTTTTCTTTTCAAAGTTCCATTTAAACAGTTTCTGTGAAACTTTTTAGAAAAAAAAATTTTTATTGTAAAAGTTCCAAGGAAATGTTTTTCATAATAAAGTCCTTGGTTGATGTTAAAAATTCCACTATTATTTATTTAAGTTCTTAAAAAAGGTTATGTTAAATGAAAAATAAACATTGATTGGGTTTAGATTACACATATAAATTATCTTAAAAGAATTACTTGATTCTTATCTGTCGTTAGTTTCAGTAGCTAAGAAAAACATTGTTCAGTTACCATTTTTTTATTTTTATTTTTTTTTGTCAAAATGCATTGATTCAATAGAACTGATAATTATTGTGTTTTTTTTTTTAATGTAAGTCCTGTAACATCTTTACTTATAAAGTTGCAAGGAAAAAGTTCTACTTCCGAAATATAAAAAATAAAGACTTCAGTTATCCCGAACGGTTTTAAACTAAAAGTTGAAATTTGTTTTCCAACCTTGGTTTAACCAGTTATAGTAATATTATATCTTTGTGGTTTGTTTATTTGGTTTTGACGTTATTTACTTGGAATTTATGTCCTTATAACTAGTAGTTATTTTACTACAGGTTTACCAACTTATTTTAGCCAGGGTGGGAAGGTCAAAATTTATTCTCTGAGTATTCATGACATTAATCTTTATAAGATCTTTAAACAGAATATTTACAGAAAAAAGTATCACAATGGCAACTTTAAAGCTAAATATCTCAAAACCCTACTTCGTTCGCTCATGCCTCCAATTATAAAAATTAATGTACTTGAAAATTAATTGAAATATTGTTTCAATAATATATGTATATATATATATATATAAAAAAATTAATATTCACAATTGAATGATATTTATATAAACTGTTTTTACAATTTAAATATGAAACAGAATAGCAGATAAAAAAATGTGAGAAACAAAGAAGACAATAAAGCCTTCATATAAACAATGGAAGAGAAAAAACGTGTGTACTCGTTTTTTCTCTTCCATTGTTTATATGAAGGCTTTATTGTCTTCTTTGTTTCTCACATTTTTTTATCTGCTATTCTGTTTCAAATTGTAAAAACAGTTTATATAAATATCATTCAATTGTGAATATTAATTTTTTTTTTTTTGTAAAATTCATGCTAACTCCTTTCATAATGTTTAATTAGTGTCAAATGTTAGACCTTAGTCAATCTGTTGAGGATATAGACTGTTGCAGCATAAAATGATCATACAAATTAAAAATATATATATCCGTTTCAGAAAGAAACATTACTATATAAACAGTATTTTATTTTATTTTTTTTTTAGTTGTACAATTTTTAATAAGAAAATCTTCAAAATAAATTATGTGTTTCTTTACAATTAAGCAAAGTGAATTAGTTGGTATCGTATGAGTGGCACCATAATAAAATTTATTTCCTTATATAAATTTTTAATGTATGTTTTTGTTTGTTAATTTACATTCTTAAATAGATACATATGTAAATTAAGTAGCAACTATCTGTTGATTTAAGGATTTCAATGAATTCTCTGTGTTAAAAGTATTTTCATGGCCATACCCTTCCATTCATCACTTCTTGGTTTTTCAGTTTGCCTAATTTAAGGATTTTTTATTTTATTTTTGCCTTATATGTTCTTTCCTAGGCTCACATTTTGTCTAATTTATCCTCTTTGTTTATAGTTTAGAAAACCGTTCATCTTTTTACGTTTGTTTTTTTATTGACAATTTATAGACCAACTTCTAACCCCAAGAAAAAGCTCATATATGTAACATCAAAAGTTTTTTTATTATTATTATTATTAGCATTAATTTGCCATAGAAGAGCCTTTTGGTATTTTATGAATAATTTACTTTTTATGGTAGTTATTGAATAATTTGATAATTACAGATCCGAAATTTATCCAAACCAATAATAATATTATATTAAACTATTTTTTTTTTTTTTTTTTTTTACAAATTTAATGTAGTAAAAGAATTGAATTTATTAATTGATAAAAATAAAATACTATTTTCAAATCTGTTGCAGAGGGTATACAGGGCAATGTATGATTACGAAGCTCAGGATGGTGATGAAGTTTCGTTCTTAGACGGCGACTTGATTGTAGATTGTGTATCCGTCGATGCTGGTTGGATGACAGGGATCGTTCAAAGGACTGGACAAGTTGGGATGCTTCCTGCAAACTACGTGGAACCTGCTCTTTGAACATTGCCGATTATTATTTTAATCCAGATATTTAAAATAACTATTTTCTTTTTAAGTTGACGCTTTCAAGAGCCTAACACAAAGGACTAGGAGCAAATATTTCAATTCAAACGCTCCCTCATGTGCGTTATTAGATTTTCGTCTTTCCATTTTCATCAACTAAGATGAAGCAAAATTTGCTGACTACAGAGATGAACCTCTTATTTATTGTAGTTATAATCTCTGGATGTTAAAGACATGACTTTTTTTTTTTTTAACTTACAGCTGTCTATTAGTTTCAGATTCAAATTAGTACGTTTCAGATTTATGCTACTTTTTAATGTTAAAGAATAACGATGGATTATAAGTGTACTATATACGCTAACAACTAATTACAAATTTAAAGAAGTGAAATGATAAAAAATATACATTCAATTACTGAATTTTATTAATATTTCTTTTTATATATGACAATCTTATTTTTATAAGTAAAGTTAACGGCACAAATTTTTAAATTATTTTACTTGTGTTTTGTGTATTTATATTTATTTGTATTTTTAAATCTTTGGAAAAGTATTGTTTTTAAAACATTAAGAAATTAAATACATAATTTTAGGTGAAACTAATGAGACTGCGTTCCATTCGGTTTTATTAATAATAGATTTTAAGTCACTGTTACTTGCCATTTCCTGCTATTGTATTTCTGTTGATTTTGTAATTTTATGTTTCGTTGGGTCAGATCTTTGTTTAATCAGATTGTGTGTTCGACATTAACCATTTATGTTCTAGTTTAATGGCATGCTTGCTATAACTTAATTAAATGTATTTTAATTTATTAAATTTTTAATTTAGTTTTTTTTCTTTTATGTTTTAAAATTTTCATTTGTACCTAAGAATGGAGCAGTATGTACATCACTGGTTAATTATTAATATAGAGTCATAAGTCATTAATTGGAGTAAAAAAAAAAAGAAAGAAATTTTACATTGTTTGATTTCAAACATGAAAATGTTTATGCTGGTTTGTTGTCAAACATTAAAAGAAAAATCGATTTCCTAATTGTTATGATTAGAGATATTTTGTTAAAAAGAATTATATATATTGACCAACATTAGATATAAATAAAGTATTGATGAGGAGGGCTTCCAAGTTATAACTATACTAACTGCATTAATAATCTTTCAAAGTAAATTTAAATATAAAATAATATTTAAATATCATGTTTTTACGCTTATTTCCAAGAATTAATAACAAGGTGTGTAAATTTTACCATCTTGAAAAGTAAGCATGTTGCCATATTACTTATCATGCAGCCCAAATTTTCTTTAGGTTTTCTTTTTTTATTATTATAACCCAGATAGAAAGTCAGATTTATTATACATACAATTGATTCTTCGTAGTTAACATATTGTGATATATACTTACTATTGTATAAGATTAAATTATATATATATTAATTGGGTTGTAGAATATTGAAATTCAGGCTTTAAAAAACTAATTTTTATTTTGAATATATATATTTTGCATTTCATAGTTACAATAATAATTCATCATTTTATTATTGTTTTTATTTATACTTCTGTCAAAAAGACATCCAACTGCACTATAAAAATTTAATTTTTTTCTTGATTGATAAAGTTATGAGCTAATATATAATTTTTTAAGGCCAGATTGACTAAGCAAACATGTACTAGTCTTTTATAGAATATTCATTATTGTAATAAAGCTCAAATAATTCAGTATTAAAAGTTACTTATTAACCTTAAGGCAGGCTCCACATATCTATTAAATCAGGCCATAAAGCTGTAATCACATATGTGCATATTTTTTAAAATTTCTTGACTAATTCGTACCTGACCCACCCTCTCCATTTTTATTGTATTTTTGATATAAATTTGTTTACAAATGTCAGATGATAATTACTTCATTTTACTCTTAACTTTTTGTGAACATCAATCTAAAAAAAAAAATTGATCTTTCTTTTTCCATGTGCCTGAATGTGTTATGATTACACTCGATAGTTTTTTATTTTGAATAAATTCTATTTTGGAGTAAGTAATAAATTGTAAATAAGCTCATAACTTGGGCACAATTGTCTTTTTGATCCAGTTGTAACTCCCCTCTATTTTTCTTTTACTTATTCAAAGAGTCTCTCATATTTTTATTATTCATAAAGAAATATTTTCATGGAATTGTATTTACTTTGCTATAGTGTTAATATTTTCTTCCATTTCCCAGGTAAAACTCAGAACTGTTAATGAGTTACCAATTTACATTGTTCATTAATTTGTTTTTTATTTTAGTGTGTTTTTATTATTTCTTAAAAGAAAAAAAAAATCTTCCATTGTTTATGCTTTGGTTGGTAAATAATAGCTTTAAATTTATTTGTTAGTTCAAATTTTTTTAAATTTGTATCTTAACAATTGTTAGTTGATGAGCATAATTTAAATTTTTACTTTTACATTGAACAATATTATAAATGTTGTATTATTAGTTTTAGATGACAAGGTTTTAGATATTTTTTGTTTCAAAATTTATTTAATGCAAAACCGTGTTTAGTTTAAATAATTAAAATTTTATTGTGGATGCGTTAGAGGATACGTTATCTTGTTTACAGCACCTGTTTTAACGGTCATTCCAGAGCCTCACATATGGGTCCATCTGATGCATTTAAAAGAAATGAATGTTTGACATTCCTTTTTCTATGAATGAGTGTTATCAGCCTATTTTTGAATGATAAAAAGGTTTGTTATGTATATTTTTTATACTTCTTTTTATATATATATATAATGACATAACTAATGTTGTTTGTTAAAAGATGTTATTAAGTCTGTAAACTTTAGAACTAACATTACAATTGTAATACAGTTTACTATCATTGTTTAGTGCCTTAACTGTAAAATAAAGCAATATTACAAACTGTTTTCTGCTTAATTTTTTTTTTGTACCAAAATTCCTTGAAGGTTTATAACAAAATGGGTTGTTTGCTGTCAGTATAATGAATACTAATTTTTCGTCAGTATACTAAACAGTGGGCGGATCTTATGAGGGGCACACTTGCTAGAAAGGTGAATTCCATACACCAAAGGTATTTGTATGTATGTATATATACATGAACAGTGTTTTTCAGTTCATCTAGTATTTTGCTAATTGATGTATATAAACTTAACAGGATATCTTTGCATACATTTTTTGACAAATTAAATTAAAAATATTTTCCAAGGTATCTCTAACTACTTTCAATTACAATATTCAAATATTTCATCAATAAATAAAGAATGTTTAATGTAAATATTCTGATTTTTTAAATTATTCATTGTTTTTGAGTGCAAAGTATAAATGAAAATTAATCATTAATTAAATAAAAATAATAATAATAAAAGTGCTGGTTGTTCAGTTACTTTTTCAAGATAAATTTTTTTCTCGCCTCTGTTGGATCTGCAAAGTGATGCTATATATTATACTAAATATTATCACAATTTATTGGAAAATTGAAAAAAACATTTAAAATACTATCATACACTAGATACAGAAACATTTACAAGAAACATATACATACTATATAGTTTCATATATTATCCCGAAGTCAATGAATTGAACAAATTTTGCTAAATCTTTTTTGATGGAATCTGGATCAGTTAGAAACTAATTATTTCTCAATTCAAACAATGAACTAGCTTCTGAGGAACTATTCTACACTTCGACATATTTAGTGAAAGAAGGTTGTTTCTTGACTATTTGACACTAATCTAAATTGTTTATTAGTACTAAACACTTATAACAAACTACCTATATTATAATTGTGGGTAAATGGTTGACTGTCGTGAATAATGAAGAGAAGAATAGTTGGGGTGATCAGTCAAATAAAAAGGCCAAAATAAATAATATTTATTTTTGCCTTTTTATTTGACTGATCACCCCAACTATTCTTCTCTTCATTACCTGTATTATAGTGGAGGGAATTAAAACTACCTCAATTCTAATTTGTATGTAAATTAAATACAATTTTTCTTAAAAACCATGTCATTTTTATTCTAAGTTTTTGTAGTTACAGTTCTATGAACTTAAAAGGCCGGGCCTAATGTGTAATTGTTTCCCATCATCCTTTGACATTACTGAAAATTGTTCAATTCTATTTATCCACCGTTTTTATTTTGTATTTTCTATTGATTAAGACATACGATTTTGGTAAAATTTTGAGGAATAATTACAGATAAATGTTATAATTACAATAATATAAATACCTTACTGGAAAATATCTCTATAACAAAAAAAGAACAGTCATAAAAAAGATGTATATTATAAAGGTTTCTCTGTCAGGGGAGAATTCTTCAATAGTTAACATCTCGATTTAGGAATGTTTGCTGTACTCCTGGAGTTCTGCTTCTTAGTTTAGTGCGGAACACCTTTAGCAGGAAATAGTGTTCTTCTGTACCTCTACAACCCATGAAGAGGCTTGGGTTAAGTACTTGGTCAGGAAGTATTGTTTCAGGGTAACAGCTGTGCAGATTTTTCCAGGACCATCACTTCCCAAGTATATCTGTACTAAATTTCAAGACATTATACATTATACCTTCAAAACGCTACCGTGTTCCTAGATTTATTTATTAATTATATATACTTGCTTCAATAGTTTTATTCAATTAAATTAGAATTAGATTATTATTAAAATAGAAAAAAAAAAAATACTCTTTCCCATGTGACTGGAAGAATAAAGTATAATTATCATGAATAATGGAGTTGAGGTCAGTAGCACAAAGAACTCGATAGATTTTCCATTTCAAGAGATGCATTAGGAAAAAATAACAATGTACTAACTTGACACAGATGAAAGTGTGGCATTTGCCAAGACAATAGACTGCTTAACTAATGTGCAGAATCTACATAACATCTTGGACCAAATATTTTATTATTATATTTAATTTACTAATTTATAATGATTGTTTAACATTACATAAAACCCATAAAGGATGTTTTTCACCGTTTTTTCTTAAATCGATTAATTTCTTTGCACTACTTATACATAATGATAAACTTATTTATAATATTAAAGAGCTTATAATCACATGACAACTTATAGCAACCACATCTATTGTAACCATATCAATTTGAAAAATTTGTTCTAGTCAATAGAAAGGTTTGAATGTAATAAAATTGTTATAGGAAAATAATTAAAAAGATATATTTTTAAAATATCATGATTTTTTCTTCTTTTTGATATTTTTTATAACATCATCAACAACCTTATTTTTTAATAGACGTTTTTCTTGTTTTTCTATCCGGGATAATTTTCCTGAAAGTGTTAGACCATGTCGTGCCCCTCTAAAATGAAAAAAATACCAAAGTTTCAAACAAATTGACACGTATAATGTTTTACATATTTTTAATTAAATAAAGGGTCTTACTTGTGAACAGTTCGACCTCCACATTTTTTAAATATTTCATCATCATCGAGCAAATTTTTCTTATCACAGTCACTTTCTTCATCTGATTTTATTTCTGTTGCCTGTAAACAAACAAGCAAACAAATATAAATTCTCTTAACAATTGAATAAATTTAAATTCATTTTTAAATTAAAGTAACTTACTTTTTCAAAATCTCTGTATTTATTTTTCAAAATTTCTTTTTGAGATGTCTCTTTTGAGTTTTCTAATTTCGTTACAGAACATGTTCCTTTATCCTAGAGGTGATGCAAAATAATTATGTTAAGAAAAACAATTAGTAATTATTTGTAATAAAAGTTAGTAGAAGGAAATTTTTATAGTATTGATAAGAGACCTCAAGAGCTACAAAAAAGTTCATATAAACAATGGGCCAATTTTCAGCAGAAAAATAACAAATTCAAGTTTTGTAATTTTTTAGAGGGAGTCATGTTTTTTGTCGAATCAAAAGCAATAACTAAATAAATATTTAATTTAAGTAATTAATATTTGCTTCATTGTAAAAAATATGAAATTCGCTTTCAATGAACATAAAGTTCATCATTGTTAAAACCATTTACAGAGAACTTTTAAGTCCCTAAACTAAGCCAAGTTAAGTTTTTAGAAAAAAACAAAAATTATTTGTAATTTTTTTTTATCATCATCCAAATATACTGCAGTTTCACCACTTTTACAAAAACCTTTTTGTTTAATAAGCTTTAAGTTTGCATTAGTTAATTTGACGTTTATTAGGGAAAATTTTGAGATTCAGATCAAGTTATGTAAAAAAATGATTATATTTTTTATCCTCTCAAGTAAAAGTACCTGTGTTTTCAGCAAAAATGATTACAATTAATTGTCGAAAAGCTTTTATTTCGTGTTTTTACATGATCTGGGATGTATTTTAACATTTAAAAATTTGGAATTATTAAGAAATGATTAAAAAGAACTTTAAATAATACAGTTTTTTTTTTTTTTGGTTAATCACTAAAAATGATTGCTAACATTCCTTAGTGAGATTTTTAAAAATATTACTATATTATTATTACTCACTTCATCAGTTTTTACTATGACGTTGGAAGCAGCATTATCATAGACACTTTCCCACCAGTTGTCTTTAAATTCACTTCCTAGTTTATAGCCTAAACCAAGATTATTAGTTTTACGTTTGGGCTTGATAGCTTCTGTGATTCCATCACTATTTTTCCCGAGGCCTTCACCTTAAATTAAAATAAACTATTAGTAAAGCACCAACCTCTTTTTATGACCCACTGGGGGTATCTTTATTCTTCGAGTAAGAATATGAAGTCCACTCGAGGATATAGTTTAAGGCATTTGGCTACTTACAGAATTCCATGTACAGTATGACCAACTTGATCTTAAATGGCAACCAGTTATGATACATCGGAACTAGTACATGATTTTTTTCTTTTTTGATATACAAAAACATGTTAATACAAATATCACTACATATTACATCTTTGATGAAATATTAGGAAATTGATATATCATCAGTTTATAGCAAAAAGTCATTATGTGATATTTCACAACCGTAAAAGAGTAAGAACTTTGATGAATTTTTTCTTTGTGAATGCATAACATTAGTTTGGAACGTTTTTTACTGATAAATAAGGTTGAAATTCACAAAATTGTTCTTAAAAGTTCACTGTCTTTGAAAGTGTACTTGGTAACTTTTTGTAATAAATCGGCAATATACTTTCTAAAATTAATTTAAAACAACCTCTAATGAAACATAAAAATAACTTCTTTATTTTCAAAACTATGATAGCTATGCCAACAGAACTGATCAGAACACTAAGAAGCTCCAACCATACAACAAAGTAGCAATGTAGAATGATAATGTGGGTTTTCATTAGAGATGTGTCTGAAATAAATCTTTATTTATCAATAATTCTCTGATACATTGCCATAAGATATCCATGATGTTACTCTACTTTTAATACTTTATCAAATAAAAACATAATTAGGAAACATGTCATAGGGAGATCATTTTAAAGTTTTTTGATACAGAATTCATTTTGAGTAAAGTTGATTCAAAACAAAAATAAATTATTATAATACACAATACCGTAGGTACAGTAATATAGAATAATTCAGGCTAATATAACAAATATAAAACTAGAAAATAAGGAGTGATTTCATTGTACACAGATTTACATACTAATGTATAATATGTATAAATAAAAATAATTACTAAAAATATAGTAAAAATAAAAATCATTACCTTCATTCCACCCATACTGTTTTAAAACTTTCTGACCGAAATTCATCTATTTTGTTGTAAATCAGAAGTCTTAAGCATCAGTTAGAGGAGAAGAAAAATTAAACCACAAATAACTTAGCCATGTGTGTGTGATAGAATTGTCAGATGGAGAAGGTAGCGAGAAAAGGTTATAAATAAACAACCTGCGCCAAAGAGTGTCTTTTTGTTTATTTCTGTTTGATATGGAAATGACAAAAGAGTATTTTTGAAGTGAAAACTAATTTAGGTGCGACTTGGACTTTTCTTTAGTAGTAGGTATAACCAATTCAGTTCTGTATTAAAAATCTTTAGAATTAATGTAAAGCTTTATTCATTTTAATTTTGTACAATATAGAATTCACAATAAGAGCTAATAACAATACATACCTTTTATATAATTAAATAGGTAATATATGGATTTTAACCTATATTAATACATTCTTCCTCTCTTCAGGAATTAAGGATAGGTAATACACGGTGGGCCAGACCCCCTTACCGTGCACCCCCCCCCACATCCCTATAAATTGCATATCGTTGTGTTCCTTGTAACAATTTATTAAAAAAAAGCCAATGTTCCCACAAAAAAAAGTGAACGCACTGCCCCAAAATGGCGTCCAAAGATGGCGGATTGACGACTTTGACTTTAGTTAGTTTTTTGGTCACTGAGAATCAGCATTAAGCTTAATTTCCTCATAGTTGGTCTTTTATTAAAGCTGAATAGTTATAGAATAATAAAACATGAAGAAATATTAAAAAATAATTGTCTAAGGCTATGAAAAACACCAGTAAAGTCAATTTTTTTAACAAAAAAATTTTCAAGTTACAAATCAAGCGTCGTTTGTAATTAAACGGCCTACAATAACGCAAAACGTGCTGAAATAAACCATCTGGAGAATATATTTCTCTTTCTGAAACGCTGATTATTTTTTACAAATGTTTAAGTAGTTCCGTAAAAAATGCACTTATGCGGCAGAAAAGCGGTACTGGCGTGGGTGCCTACAGGCCTCTACCACACCATTCAGTGCCCATAAATGGCTTAGTTATAGTGATATAATAACATTTTTGGTACATTATATTGGTTTTATTAACGAACAAATATTAATGCAATAATTTTATAGTAAAAAAAAAAAAATTTAATTTAAAAAAAAATTTATTATAATTTTTTTAAATTTTAACCTCCTTTATTTTATACGTAGGTCGTTTAAGAATACCTCAATTGTAAAAATGATATAATTATAATAATAAAAGTTAATTAAAAAATATTTTGCTAAATATCTTGATTTTTTTTTATTTAACGTTTGCAATTTAACACTGTGTTTTGAATATTTACTGATTCTTAGAAGTAATTAAAATTTTTATATATTTCCCAGGAAATGAGTCATATTCATACCTTTTTTATAAACTAAAATAATATATACCTAATCTGAACTATATATAATGAATAGCTACCGGGTTGTTTAGTAAAACTCATATATCACTAATTAAAAAATTAATTTTTATTTCCTTTATTTTGTGCAGAAGTTGGACTATATCATAAATAAATAGGAAATTTTAATATTGAATGAATTATTCTCTATGCACAAAGAAAGATATAAAGGGTGACCCTATAAGTTCTTCTATAAACCAAAACTGATTGTTTGGATTTGATCTCAAAATGAGGAAAAACGTGAACTTAAACGAGAAAATTGGAAAAATACATTAAGCGAACGAGAAAGGAAGTGCCAAAACCTCGGAATAGATAAAAAGGACCAGTTATATCCATTATATAGCTAAATGAATGTATAGTAGATAGATGAACAGAATATTTCAAGATGCTGCTAAAACGGGATCAATTGCAGTTTGGATGATATTAAGTGGACGATGTAGGTTTATTATGGTGAAAACCACTTTATTTTCGATTGCTGAAGGTGCACCTCGGGACTATATTAACTTTGAAGATGAATATAGAGATGTATATCGAGAAAGTTATAGCTCATAGCTTTCCTTCTGTTTAGTGGATTTTCAAAAGATTTTTTAAGGGATCTAAAAGGAAAACGAGTTTTTCTGAAAGACAGTTAGATATTAGCATAATCCAAAGTGTGAGGCACTGAGCAGATAGAGAGCTATTTTTCTTTTTATGTGGACTTCTCTATAACCTGCCTTAAAGTGAAGACAGTCCCAATTTTCAACTTCTCTTCCAATGTGCAACTTGAGTTTCTCAATCCATATCGCTCTGGCAATCGACAATATTTCTTATTCCAGCTTCTACGATTCTTGTGTATAATTTGTTTGATACACTAAACAGGAATGGGTCTTGATGGGTATTACATTTCCTAGTATATCCTTTCTTGTAAAGGTAAAAACCACAGTCCTTTCATATTATTTTCTAATATGCTTGTTGTCTATGTACGCGCAAAACTGTCAAAGCAGTTTGGTTTCGCCCTTTCCATCTTCTTTGTGCAGAGAGAATAATACATTCAATATTAAAATTTCCTATTTTTTTATGATATGGTACAAATTCCGAACAATTCAAGAATTGATCCCGTTTTAGCAGCATCTTGAAATATTCTGTTCATCTATCTACTATACATTCATTTAGCTATATAATGGATATAACTGGTCCTTTTTATCTATTCCGAGGTTTTGGCACTTCCTTTCTCGTTCGCTTAATGCATTTTTCCAATTTTCTCGTTTAAGTTCACGTTTTTCCTCATTTTGAGATCAAATCCAAACAATCAGTTTTGGTTTATAGAAGAACTTATAGGGTCACCCTTTATATCTTTCTTTGTGCATAGAGAATAATTCATTCAATATTAAAATTTCCTATTTATTTATGATATAGTCCAACTTCTGCACAAAATAAAGGAAATAAAAATTAATTTTTTAATTAGTGTTATATGAGTTTTACTAAACAACCCGGTAGCTATTCATTATATATAGTTCAGATTAGGTATATATTATTTTAGTTTATAAAAAAGGTATGAATATGACTCATTTCCTGGGAAATATATAAAAATTTTAATTACTTCTAAGAATCAGTAAATATTCAAAACACAGTGTTAAATTACAAACGTTAAATAAAAAAAAAATCAAGATATTTAGCAAAATATTTTTTAATTAACTTTTATTATTATAATTATATCATTTTTACAATTGAGGTATTCTTAAACGACCTACGTATAAAATAAAGGAGGTTAAAATTTAAAAAAATTATAATAAATTTTTTTTTAAATTAATTTTTTTTTTTTTTTACTATAAAATTATTGCATTAATATTTGTTCGTTAATAAAACCAATATAATGTACCAAAAATGTTATTATATCACTATAACTAAGCCATTTATGGGCACTGAATGGTGTGGTAGAGGCCTGTAGGCACCCACGCCAGTACCGCTTTTCTGCCGCATAAGTGCATTTTTTACGGAACTACTTAAACATTTGTAAAAAATAATCAGCGTTTCAGAAAGAGAAATATATTCTCCAGATGGTTTATTTCAGCACGTTTTGCGTTATTGTAGGCCGTTTAATTACAAACGACGCTTGATTTGTAACTTGAAAATTTTTTTGTTAAAAAAATTGACTTTACTGGTGTTTTTCATAGCCTTAGACAATTATTTTTTAATATTTCTTCATGTTTTATTATTCTATAACTATTCAGCTTTAATAAAAGACCAACTATGAGGAAATTAAGCTTAATGCTGATTCTCAGTGACCAAAAAACTACCTAAAGTCAAAGTCGTCAATCCGCCATCTTTGGACGCCATTTTGGGGCAGTGCGTTCACTTTTTTTTGTGGGAACATTGGCTTTTTTTTAATAAATTGTTACAAGGAACACAACGATATGCAATTTATAGGGATGTGGGGGGGGGGGTGCACGGTAAGGGGGTCTGCCCCACAGACTATAAGGGTACCCAGAAGGAGATTTGGTGGCGCCATAAAAATTTTTGAGAGAGGGCATATTTTGAGCATTCTTTGACGGGCGGCGTATGGAGAAGAAGGAGAAATGCCGAACTAACAAGACTCTACAACGACCTTGGCATAATCAAGTTCGTGAAGCTCGGATGACTCAGATGGGCAGAAGATGGCTGCCAATAAGATTCGCCGAAAATGATCCTTACCGAAGAGCTCAATGGGAAGTGGTGAGTTGGACGACCGAACTTGTAATGGATGGACTCGGTCTCTGCGGACGTGCGGGCCCTTCTTGGAGTCCGAAACTGAAGAGCTGCAGCAAACGACCGAACAACCTGGTGGAAACTTTTGGAGGAGGCCTAGTCTCGGTGACGGGACGTGGCGCTACTAATGAACTTAGGCTAGCTTAGTGGATATCTAGTGATCCGAGGCATCCCACTGCGAGCAGCTGGAACTTCCGTAGCCGTAGTAACAAGGCGTAGCAGTAGAAAAGATAACACACAGCCGGCGCCAATCATCGCACGTTTTGTCAGAAAATCAGCGAGGGAAGAACTGGTTCAGAGAAGAAAGGTGAAGAGGGGTTTCTCAACGCGCGATATCGGGTGGCAGGAAAGTGACTGCCACCCAATTTATCTCAACGAGAAGATGACCCCGACAATTAGGCACATCTATTGGCTTGCCCGACAGAAGAAAGCCCAGGAAAAATAAAATATGTTCGGTTCGGTCGGCCCATAAGGTGGTATTCATCGGTCGAACTCAGGATCTGGATTTCTTTGACTGGCTGAGTCTCGTCTACTCTTCAGCATCAAAACATTTACCACATTATAGCCATTTTCGAAACCTGGCTCAATCCCTACATCCCTTTCTCCGCTCTCTCCCTGTCTAACTACATCTTAATCCGCCATGATCGAGGAAGCCGGACTGGCGATGGTGTAGCTATGTATGTCCATGAAAGCCTTAAGATCGGAATACTTGACTGTTCTCCACCATCCTATCACCCACAAACCGAGTTCTTTATCCTTGAGATTCCCTGTAATACATCTCCTTTTCTATAAACCGTATTTACTTATATTTTTGGTTTTCTTTTCTTTCTCCACATCCCTTTATGTCCATTATTTCATATTAAATCCTTTTTCTTTTTCTGCCAATCTCTCCTGTAGATCTGTAGGAATATATTTACAATTGCATATATTGTATTATATATTTTATTACAACAATTGTTATCATCTATTTACTTCAGTTTAGGATCTTGTTACTTAGCTTACTCTGTTTATATTTTAATGTACTTACTGTTTATAATTTTAATAAGTTTATTCACATTGTTTATAATTTTTTGTCTAAATATTATGTAACTTCCGCAATTATCTATATCTTTTTGTATCTTGTCCATTCTAGCCCTGAAGAAGACCTGCGAATTCAGGTCAAAACGTTTGCTTTTAATAAAATAGTTTTCACACTATTTAGTCTATTTATGACTGCCACCCCAGACCATCTCCTTCCTTAATAATACAATGGTCAACTATTGATTCAATCAGAAAAGAATTATGAAGGCCTTCATAAGATTTGTCACTGGGGCTCCTAAAACGTTCCCATGTTTCTCACCACTATGCTGAGTTAGGGTGGCTCTTCCCCTCCTTCTGAAGGCAATATTTCCTAGGCATATTCCTTCACAAAACAATCAATAATCATCATCCGTTCTATGCATACAATCTCCTACAATTCAAATCATCAATCCACATTCTCTCCACAAGATCACGTCTTTCTGACCTTTACACCGCTTTCCACAGATCTTTCTCATTTAAACATTCCTTTGTTGACCATTCCACTGCATTCTGGAATTCCACCTCACTAAAAATCCGCCATGTACCATCCTTATCCACATTTGAAACTCTCTTATTCAATTTCCTCTTCACAATTCAATCAGACGCTGGCTAAGTATATATCACATAACAAGGTTTTAATTTTCTTTATACATTTTTTTTTCTTCTTCTGTTTTGAGTATGAAACAGAATTTCAATCACCTTTCACAAAGCATTGTGAGTAGATATAATTTTTTTTTTTCTTTTTTTTTTTTCTTAACTTTTTCTTTTTCTATTCATCAGATTGTATTTCTTTGAAGTGCATTTTATTTTATTTAAAAATATTTTATTTTTTACTTATCTTCTACACACTCCTCTCTATGTATGTATATATATTTTTTCTCCTCGTAATCTACCGCTTCATAGGTAGATCACAATACTTATCTAGTTTTTCATTATATCTTTATGTGTTTTCACTTAAACTTCTTAAGGAACAGATTTAAATAATTTATTTACTCTAGTTATTTTATTTTTATATTTTATCACTAAAATGGTTTGCCTATAAAACTTATTTAGCGCTTCTTTCTAATTTCATTTAGTTATTTATATGTTTTTGTTTTTTTGTACCAATATTATGATATTGTAACCCAAGTACCAATCTGCTTTCCTTAATATATCCTCTAAGCTATGTATATACTCATTTTATTACTTAGATTTTAGGTATTCTTTATTATAATAGGTCATCTGGCCAGATTCATTGTTAATTGGTATGAACAATATTGTTATTCTCAAGGGATCTAGTCCCAGAATAAAGATAATTTTCTATTTCTATTTCCATGGATGTATGCATACTTAGGTGGATTTCTGTATTTTTGAGGGGGCATATTTCACCGGGGTTATGAGTTTTCAGAATAAAAGTTCCATACTAAGGGACAAGGGAAAAACATGGAACAGACCACAGCAAGTGTAATTGTGTATGTTCAATAATTTTTCTAATTCTACCTTCGCTTGCTCTTTTTTTTAAGAAAAGGTGAGCAATAAAATATCTTGGGAGTGGAAGAAATGAGGTCTTGTCCCATCTAAATATTTGAGGGGGCATATTTGATGTTTTTAATTGAACCTAAAGGACACAGAGCGCTGGTCAATAATCATTGTTAAGTACTGTCCTAATAGAAAATGCATCCATCATGCTGCAAATATCTTGATACAATTGTGACCAATGGTAACAAATGGCGGAAGAAATAAAAGCAAGAATTTGAAATGGAAACAAGTGTTATTGATCCATCAGGAAGTTATTTCAAAATAAAGAAAGAATCTGAAACCTCAAAATAAGTGTATAGAAACCGGTATCTTCTCCAGTTTTCACTTATGGTAGTGAGGCATGGACCCTAACCAAGCAGCAAGAGAAATTGCTGAGTACATGGGAGAGAAAAATTAATAAATGAATATATATGACTGCACCAAAGAAGAAAGTCATTATCATATAAAAATAAATGCAGAACTTAAGGACCCATATGGAGAATCTAGTATAATTTCCTGCATTAAAAATAGAGGAATAAGACGTCTGGGCCATGTATGTATATTGAGTAGATTGAAAAAGACTCCCAAAGCAAATTATGGAGGGACGTCGAAATGGAGAAAGAGGAAGAAACAGGGTGTGGTGGCTGTGTGACATTCAAAAGAAGCTGCAGAGGATCAGTCTGAGTGGAGGAAATTGGTTGAGAAGGCCAAGGTCCTTCGTGGGCTATAGCTCCAAAGGAAAAAAAAATAACTGGTCCACTTTCAATTTTTATACTTACTTCTTTTGAAAATTAATCCACATCATTAATATTAGTTATATTCTTCTTCCTGATGACAAGGGTAGAACCCCGAAACGTTGAAAGTATAACCATAAAGATTTTTTAAATTAAAATATGTTTACAAGGAAGATTTGTGCTTCAAATTTTATTTGTTTGTCATTGATTTGAAGCATTTTCCAACAGAACAAAATTTATTATAAATGCAGTTACTGTATTAATTAGGGTATAAAGAAATGAGCAAAATTTGAAATGATTTATTTTTATTTTTTTTAATTAAGCTTAAAATATTTTACATGTCCTTTTGTCAACTTGGAGATCATAAACTAAAAATATGTGAACAATATTTTTTGGTAATACAAAGAATATGGGGCTCTGTAAAGCTATATTTAAATGTAATTATATAAAGTACAATTTCATTATGAAAATATAAAACACTAAGACTGACTATATAAATATTTATATGTATATTTACATTTTTTTCTTTATATATACCATTTTTTTTAAAACTGAAATCAAATGATAATTCCATTCTGATTATATTTTGAACAATTTATTAAAAATTTAAATTTAAAATATTATTTGTAACAAAATTTATATATAACCACTTTTAATTATGTCACATATGTACAATGTTTATTTACAAAGGGCAATTATACACAACGGTGAGGGGTTTATTTTTTATATTCAGACAAGAATAGTGGTCTAACAACCTTTATACAAACATATACAATAAATATAGGCTTCTATAAATAACTTTAACATACAGCACTAATATAACTCCTAACTTGAGCTATACTAAATTTAAATAACCTAAGCGCTAAATTCCACATAAAAGGAAATTTAACCAATTACATATTTACCTAGTATCACACAAGGTTCACTAAGTGAGCCATTTAAAAAAATAAAACAAAAAAAATATCACATTTCAATTAATCTCTCTACTATCAAAGTAGTACACTTTTAAGTTGGAGATATACACACACGTTAATATATATACTTTTATATTCTAATTATAATAATTACTTATAAAAAAAAACCCTTGGCACAAACAAATTAATTTTATTTTTTTTACTAACTGAAAAAAAACCCTGTTGAGTACTTGAACATCCTCAGTGCTCAGACCACGCCCTGAAGATGACCCACATGTTTGGGTTGAAATGTTGGCAAAAATTAAAATGTTTCATAAAAAATGACTGTCCTGAATATTCATCACCCATGAAAAAAAACAACAATAACATTTGAGGAGCAAGAATGAATTCATAACAAAATTTAAAGAATGAAAGTGATCATTGTTTTGTTATAAAATTAGATTTGTCATTTAAAATTTAATTACAATGTGACATTATAGCCCTGGAGCCAGGGTCCAAAAATCGACCTGATCGCAGGCGAAAGTTTGATTGTAAATTACGAAAGTGTATGTTATCTTGAGTAAAAAAAACCTTGTCTGCCATTCCGGAGCTGCTGCTTTCAAAAATGGCAGCTGATTTAAAGAATATTAGGCCAATAATTTGAGGATCGAAACGGGAAATCCATTGTGAAATATGTGAGAAAAGTTTCTATTTTTTTAACTTGTATATATGGGTTTAGACATGTAAAAAACAAAATTTCTAACGCAGGCTACCAAGATAAAATTTTTTACAGCCAAAAAAGTCAGATATTTTTTGGGTTTTTCATCTATAACTCCTAAACAATGCATCAAAGCGAAAAATGTGTTCTTTAATAAATTAAAGAACGTTAAATTTTGCGGCAAACAAGCACATAAACTTTAAAATAAGGTATAAAACCACAGTCAACCAACTCTGAGTTTTACCAAATTTGCCAAAAACTGGGACAAATTACAATTATTGGTCCTGTAACTTGGAAATGAGTTCCCTAAGGAGAAAAACCCATAGAATCAAATTTATAAAGCATTAAATTTTTCGTCCACTGAGTACTGATATTTTTATTGTAGATCAATTATATATCTCGAATCGGGATTCATTATTTCTTAATGAAATTCGGTATTATTCGACACTTCGTTTATCAAAATCCTTCGCTGCTGAGAGGTGGAAAAGAGGCTTATACTGCATGTAACAGATTTTAAACAAAACTAACTCAGTAGAATAGACACCCATACTGTTGAAATATTGAAAATCACGTTTACCTTCATTACCAATTTCTAGCCATCGGGAGATTACCGATTTTGTTCGCAGCAAGTGACCTACATTAAATTAGTTGATAAAGAGTATACACGAAATTTGATGCTCTACAACTTTGATTCTATGGTTTTTTCCTCTTAGGGAACTCATTTCCAAGTTACAGGGCCAATTATAGTAATTTGTCCCAGTTTTTGGCAAATTTGGTAAAACTCAGAGTTGGTTGACCGTGGTTTTATACCTTACCGCAAAACCAAATTTTAAAGTTTATGTACTCATTTGCCACAAAATTTAACGTTCTTTAATTTATTAAAGAACACATTTTTCGCTTTGATGCATTGTTTAGGAGTTATAGATGAAAAACCCAAAAAATATCGAAAAAATCTGACTTTTTTACCTGTAAAAAGGTGGCCTACGCTAGCAATTTTGTTTTTTACATGTCTAAACCCATATATACAAGTTAAAAAAATAGAAACTTTTCTCACATTTTTCGCAATGGATTTCCCGTTTCAATCCTCAAATTATTGGCCTAATATTCTTTAAATCAGCTGCCATTTTTGAAAGCAGCAGCTCCGGAACGGCAGACTAGGTTATTTTTACTCAGAATAACATACACTTTCGTAATTTACAATCAAACCTTCGCCTGCGATCAGGTCGATTTTTGAACCCTGGCTCCAGTGCTATTAGTAGTAATAATAATGCATCAGTAGTTTTCTTAATGGTGATTATTTAATTTATTTTTTATTTTCTAGTTTAGGCATAAGGAAATAATAATATTTTTTATATCCTAACATTTTTGTGAATATTTAATTTTTTTTTTGGTTTTCTTAGTTGAAGTTTGGAGATAATTGGTTGAAAATGGTTCCCTCGTTGAACATTTTTTGAAATTGTCGATTCATCATTGCTCCACAAATGTTTTATCTTAATTTTGCTATATTTTAATACAAAATAGCACAAATTTTGGTTTTAAATAAATATTATTTCATATAAACAGTGTGCCCTTATTTTTTATTTATTTATTTTATTTTATTTTTTTTTTAGAGCAATGTATTCATAGATACTCCTAATAACAAACATTAATATACAATAACTGTCTTCTTAAATTATGGCACATTTACAAGAACCTTACATAATTACAACTACAAAATCAATCTTGATCAAATTTTTCACAGAAAAACAGTTTTTATTTTTATCTCAGATAAAGATAAAAAAAATATACTTAATTTACTGTATCATTTGAAAGTATCGATTTTCTTCCATAAATGAATTTAAAGATGATGTCATGTCATTAACAACCATGTTACATGTAGTCTGAGTTGATGAATTGGCCCAGTTCTGGCACTGTTCAACATACTCTAAAGTCCTCTGGTAAGCAGTCTGTCTGACCTGAGTGGCAGACAGCTCCTCTTTTGGATCTTGGTAATAAGGAACATTGTTTGCCTGGAACTGCTGGCAGATGTGATGCTGAGCGGGGCAAGTGCACTGCCTCGCACCTCCCAAGTTCCCTTGCGGTAGGTTGTGTTGAGACGGGGCCGTTGCCCCAGCAGCAGGACTCGACAAGGGCTGGTAACAGGCAGGCTCAAGGACCAAATAGTTCTGCTGGCCTTCGCTGATCGTTTGAGGAGGAATCTAAAGGGAAAAAAATAATTGTAAGATTGTTTGAAAAGTAATAGATTTTATACAATTAACAATTTATGCTCTCCCTACTTTTTCTTTTATAAACCATATTTAAAATCTGTAATCATGTAAACAAATAATTTCTTTATTTGTATATAGCATTTCTTATTCCCTTAGGATATACTTATTAAATAATGGTAATAATAAGAAGACAGAATCGCTCATAAAACCTCGATTCTGTTATGTTACAAATACTCCTGAAATTGCAAACTGAGAGAGAACTAAAAATTGTCTTATACTAAGGGAAAAATGTCAGAATAAAGGCAAAATTTTGAATAGTTATCATATTACATAGAATATAAGACATAGTTTGGTGGAAAATTACTTTACTATTTTTTATTTATTAATTGTACAAATGTGATATGTACTTTAATAATGTAAATAATTTGTAAGTAATAAATAAATATAACAATAAAGATGGCAACACTGGTTCAGACCAATGAACAGCATGGGAATACTTGGTTTCAGCCTGTTTGCTTGTAGCGTAAGTTAGAGTATCATTGAATCTCAACTGTTTTTGTTATAATATCCTACAATCACATAACACGTAGCTGTTTTTATCTTGGTATAATTTGGAATTTTATGAATAAAATAATGATGTAATATTGGATTTTGGGAAAATTGCAAATAGGAAAATGTTCTCACAGCTTCATTTTATAAATATTTAAGGCATTAAAAAAAGACGAAAAATTTATTTAAAGAAAGGCAATAAATTTATCTAGTATTATTTTAAATGGTCTTTGCCATCAAATTTAAGAATAAATTATAAAAAAAAAAAAAAATGAATTCTTATGAAAAAAAAAGTGCATAGATCCAATAAAATACAGCAATCGTTCTCACAATTGGCACAATTGGCATTAAAAATAAATATGAAGCGATTCCTTATTCAATGACCAGATATTCTGGAATAGTTCGAAAATTGAAAAGTAAATTATATTTAGTGACAAAAAAAGTAAACAAAGCTGTTATGTTATAATTAGAAAAATATAAGTACAGAGCTTGTTTATCTAAAATGTAGGCAAAAAAAGAAAGAAAAATTAACATTTTGCCGATTCAGGCTTTATATGGTCATCTGGTGATCCCTGAAGTGGCAAAACATTGACGGATTAGTTGGTTTTACCAGCATGTTAGAGACACTAGGCAATGTAGTTGGATTTTTACAATTATAATCAAACATCTATATTTTCTCTTGTTGAGCTTTTTATTTGTTTATATTAGTAAGCAAAGCTATATCTCAGGTAGTAAAAATCCTTAATTAAATTTAAAAACAGAAAATATAAGTAATTAAACAAAATCATAATAAGAGAAAATATAGTATTTCTAAATAAAATATATACCTGAGGAACCCTCTGCTGAGGTGGGACAGCATTGAACTGCTGCTGGCATGGCTGCTGAACGCTAGGGCTCAGCTGGCACGACCTAGGGGTAAGTCTCTCATTCACCCGAGGTGTCATCCTGCCGTTGGGTAGTCTCGGGGAACCGGGCCCACCATCGTGGTGACCACCTCCCGAGTGGTTACTGTTCTCTGCGACCTGGAGTTAAAAAATAGTTACAGTATGAACTTTCATCTGACACGCACATTTAAATATTTATTTTTTTAAAAATAAATTATATACTGAGAGAAAGAAAGAAAGAAAGGAAAAGAAAAAAAAATTACTTGTAGTTTTTAAACTGAAATTATTATCCTAGCCCATCAATACTACCGTTCTATTAAAAGATTAAAAGTCATATTCGTATAGGAGAAGACAAAGTGATATTACTCATATTTTAGCCTACAAATTAGCCAATAACTTAACCAATCTTCTAGAGCCCATGTGTGTGCTATACTTAATCTTCCTCCTGTACGTCATGTTAGTAAGGATTTAACTATTTAATAACAGATCACTATGTAATTATTATTGAGCATATTGAGGTAATATTTTAATGACACAACTAAAATAAAATTTTAGTAAGCCCATAATTATATTGCAATGTTGTTCAAAACCTTTTTATGACTCTAAATAATAACAAATTGTAATTAGGCCGAGGCTTTTGGTCCTGCGCTATTTTATTTTATTGAGTGCTTGAAATAAAATTTAACTTTTATTTTAATCAGTTTTGGTACAGTTGGAATCTGTATTTTCAATTTTTTTTTCTGTAATTTCAGGAACTATAAGTTCTTTTTATTTAAAAGTGCTGTTTAAACAATTTATTTTGCCGAAAATGTCAATCTATAAAATGGTAATCAAGCAGCATATTCTTAGTTACTTGAATAAAGGAGATATAAGAATCAATTAATCCATTTGAAATAAATTACAACTGTGATCTATGCACGATTACTGTTTATATCTCATTTAATGTAACTTTTTCAAGAACTTAATTAAATAAAAGTTAAACTTTTATAATGAACAAAGAACTTTATCACAAATAAGTTCCAAGGAATTCTAATGACATTTTAAGCACTTTTTTCCTAAAAGATTTCACACAAACTGTTAAAATGGAAATTTATACATAACTTTCATCTCCAAGTTTCTTCTATTTAATAACAGATCACTATGCTATTTGGACAAAAAAATAAAATACAAATTTAGAATGTATGTAATTTTTTCTCAAAATTGTGAATAATATTTGAATGTTATTAAAAACTTATTTATGACACTAAATAAAAAAAGTTTGTAGTTCGGTCAAAGTTTTTGATCCTTCATTATTTTGTTAAACTGAAGCAGATTGATATAACTTAAAAACTTCTTAAGGCTTTGTATAACAACAGGAAAAATGTTTGTTGTGATGTCAAGACAAATAAATACTTAATAAACAAATAATAATTTATATTTGTTATTCAATTTATAACATATAACAGTAAGTACCTGGTTCATAGCCAAGAACATGACCATGTCATCAGGTAGAACAACGAGTTTGCTTTCTACAAGTTCTCCCTCTCCAACTTCGTCAAGAACCACTTCTTGATTGGGATGATTCGGCTCCGGAAGAGGATTCATGGCTGGTAGTGTTGACCTTGGCCTAGGAGGAGGTGAGGTGACGTTCGTACCCTGGCATGGTTCTGACATTCTTCTCGACTCTCCATTATCATCCCAAACAGGATTTTGGTGCTTTAAAAAATATGAGATAAATAGTGAGTTGGAATATTACTCTAAAATAAAAAATTATCTAAGATCAAATGTCTATGAACAATTAATTACCTGCACAACAAGATTAGTGCTTAGTTGACTTGATCTCCTCGAGGAACCGACTGATATGGGATCATACAATGATCCATTACTAGGTCTATGAGACACCTGTTATGGAAAATTAAGTGTTAATAACTAATGAAACAATAAATAAATAATAATGAAAATAATTTATATAATGAACTTAATTACAGTACCTGGCTACTCCTTCGGCTTGATTCTATATCACTCTTCATGCTTCCATAGTAGGTACTGACTGTTGAATTTGAATCTCTTCTTATTTCAGTATTGATACCACCTCCCATTTTCAAGTCTGTTATCCTCTTGTTAATATCAGTAAGACCACCATTAATCGTCCTCCTGTTTCCTACATGAACATAAAACATAACATTAATGATACGATATTTCTATAAATTGTCCTTTAATTTAATTAAAAAAAGAAAGAAAAATGAATTTACCATGCATTGCAGGGAGAGGAGGAAGCGCTGGGGATGGTTTACTTTGCAGTTTTGCCCTTAGGTTATTATGCCTAGCGACCGGAGGGGGAGGTGCCAGTCCGACGACAGCTTGTAAGGCAGCAGGAAGATCGTAAAGCTGTAATGGAGAACAATAAGTTAATTCAAATTACTGCCATTAAAAAACAAACAAAAAAAAAGGAATTTAATACTAAAGTGTGACTAATCAACAATTCTAATGAAGATTGATTTAATTAGAAAAAATATTACTTAATAAAAAATATAGATATACAAGAATATCAATTTAAATGAGTGGAAAACCAACATAGTACTCATGTTTTCTGAATAAACAGAATCGTAATAGTCATTATTAAAAAAAGTATCTATAAACTAATAGATAAGTAAAAATTTGTTTTTCTAGAGAAAACTGAAAAAAACAAACAAAAAAACTGTGTTAAACATAGTAGTGTACTATGAAAACCACACTGTATGGAAACTAATGGCAATTATTTCACTTATTTTGAAAAATTTACATTTGTAAATTTCGACTTCATCGATACAATATACAGTAAGTGTATGAAAATGAAATAAACCCTTTTATGTATCAAATGTAGTTACAAAGAGTACACAATTTTCTAATTTCTTAAAGAGAAAATTCTATGAAATTTTAAATTATTTATAGTTATGAAATGGCCCTTAATGACTTTTTGCAATAAACCAATGATGTTTCAAAGATTTTATGTAGCATAAAATTATATATAAATTGGAATTACTTTCTCCGTTTAAGTTATAATTATAATAAACTTCATAGTCCGACTTAACTAACTCTCAACAAATAGTTTGTTGACTTTAGGTTAAGTTTTTTTTATTTTGAATTAAATGTAAAAATAATTACAGAAATACTTAATGAAACTTACATCCATGTCCTGGGCATCCTCTGCCCAATTTTCATCCAGTCCATGATGATTCCCTGCGCTGATGTTGCTATCACTGATTGGTTCGTCGCAGAAAGCATAAGAGTTCGGGACGACAGAAAGAGGGCTTCCTTGATGACCGGGTGAATTTGTTTCCTAAAAAAATAAAAATTAATTATAGAGTTATAGATAGAAAGAATAATTTCTTAAATACAAAAAAAAATTGTCTTAAGTAAGATTAAACTAGTATTATTTGTAAATAATTGTGCAATAAAAGTAATCTTATTACATGGTAGTTAACAGCGATTGAAGGACTTAATGCAAATTTTTTGTGAAAGCCGTATGGTATTAAATGAGACACTAGGTAATTCCTCTATTAGGCTTCTAATATAATACTCCATATTCAATTGAACAATTGAATTACTAAGAATTAAACCCACCTCTGATTTAATACTTGGACTGGATACACTCGCAGTCTTCGTACTGAGCGGCTCATCACTTCTAGATGGAGAGACTCCGCCACCGCCATCTTCCGATCCTCCATCTCCACTGCCTCCGATCCCTTTGTGCTTCTTATTAGCAAAAAATTCAGGACCATGAACAGTCTTGACATGTTTTCTCAAGGAACTTGGATCAGTATACCTCTTTGTACAACCAGGCGCTTTGCAAACATACGGTTTCTAAAATAAAATAAGAATAAATTAAAATTAATTGTGTTCTGTTCAGAATAAGCTTTGTCATAATGTATGAAAAATAGTTACTGTAAATTATAATATTTGATAAATAAATATCAGTATGTTTCTTCAATGTCAGTTGAAAATTGTATGACTCATACTTACTCTCAATCAATATGTTCCAAATGTTGCTTGCAACAAACATTTTATTAAAAATTTGTTGATCATTATAAGTGAAAATACATGACAATATTATAGTATTCAGGTAAGAGAAAATAGTCAAATTTAAAATGTAAAAATAATTGGCTAAATTTTCATGATTTATAGTTTATGGTTTGAATATGTATTGTTAGCAAACACAGATTAATTAATTGTAAAATGATAATTTTTCTATAACTTTTACTATATTTCTTACTTTAGTTTATGTATATTTCATATGTTTAGTTTTGGGTATTTCTAAAATATCTATTTCTTTAATGTTTTAAAGATTTTTAAATATATTCTTGCATTGTTTTATTATATTACCATTACTACGAGCAAATTGTACCCAGTAGGGTCCATTAACCCACAGAGAAACAAATATTTTAAAGTACAACTATGACTCTTGCCATGAAAATATTTATTATACATGATCCATCATATATTTAACATATCGTAGTAACTACCTATCTCTTGAAATAGGTTTAATTATTACTATATTTCTAGTACTATTTCGGTTTAAGTCAAGTAACCTCGAATTATGGTATATTAATTGTTTATTATTATTTCGTTCTATAGAAATATATATTTCTATTCTTTCATTATTACGAGTTATTTACATTTATATGATAGTTATTTATATTTAATGATAAATATAATATTTATTTTATTTCAATTACAAGCAGTTATGCACACCATTTTTAAAAAGCATTTTCAACTTTGTTGTTGAATAGAGTAAATTCTAGGAACAACTTTCATAATGTTTACCTATTAAATTAGAAAAATATTGTATTTGTTTAAAATACTTTTATTTGTAAATAATGGCTAACAGACCATAAATCCTTACTTTATGCCTCAAGTTAAATTCTATTGTGTTAAAATAATACTACAGTGCTTCAAACTTAGTTTTAATATTTTCAGCAAAAACTGTTTCAATTATTTTAATAATAGTCAAATTCGTTACTTAAATTTTAAATGGAGTAATATAAATATAAATTTAAACTGTTTCCTTATTATTACATATATTGGCAATTTTACTAACCTCATTTGAATGTGTTCTATTTTGATGCTTTGCCCTGTCAGAAGCATTGCTGAAAGCCTTGCTGCACCCAGGATATTCACAAGTGTATGGTTTTTCTCCAGTATGTGACCGCAGGTGAGTTTTTAAATTTTCCAATCTTGAATATGCCTTTCGACAACCTTCAAACTGTTTTTAAAAAAAAGTATTTAATTACATTATATTTAATGTAATAAATTGAATATTACAGAAAAAAGAGAGGGTAATTTCATATTATTAACATAAAACCAAGAAAATAACTTACAGTACACTTATGAGGCTTTTCTCCTGTGTGCCTCCTCATATGCACAACAAGCATGTACTGAGCCTTGAACGGCTTTTCATCTCTTGAGCAATCCTCCCACTGACACACAAATGACTTCTTATTTGCATTTATGTGATCATTGTTTATATGCTGAAACAATATGAAATATAAATTAATAACCCGTTTTATTTATGATCAAATATTAACATATTTAAAAAAAATATATTTAGACATACATTTACAAGATTCCTTTGAGTTGGAAATTGAAGTCCGCAATGCTTCCAATGACAATCGGTTGCTACAAAATCCCCCGGTTCAGACTTCATAAGCCTGCTCTCTTCTTCAGTCATCGTTCTCTCTGCTTTTGATGACTTTTTATTAGTTCCTTCAGGTTCATTGTTCACTACTTTCGCTTCAGTCTTCTCCTGAAACCACATTATGATATAAATAATGCAATATGAGAATAAAATAAAAGTTATGAGTAATAATAATTATGCTGGACAAGATGTATGTCATAGAATTAATAGATTAATAAAACTAATTTTAAATTATTTAGCTTCTTCAAATATACTTCTTCAAATTGATGTAATGCTTCAGTATAACTAATTAATTTAAAATGTAATTTTACGTGCTGGTTGCCAATAATTTTCTTTAAAAGCATCTGAAAGACCAATGAAGTTCCCAACGAGTTCTCTGATCATGTGATTCCCAGAGTAGATTTAATTTTAAGAGTTCTGGTAAGATCTAAGTAGGTTGATCAAAATTAGATGGTCTGATGGAGTTGTAGCAGATGTCCAAGCTAGCTTTGGAGTCCACAATTGAATGGCGGCTGCACTTCTCAGGGATGACTGGCAGTTGAAGTCACAGGAGGCCCTGACTCTATACTAGTTGTGGTGCCATGCAAGAAGAAGAAGAAGTTCTGGCAATATCATTAGAGGACACTCAGTAAATAGCAGTAGAAGGCAACCGTCTGGAATTGTCCAGTCATTTGATAGACCTCGCTTATGGATTTTGCGAAGTGAGAAGTAGCTATTGATGATTAAATCATTCAGAAGTGCGTAACATTAAGTAGATAAATCTCTTCAGTCTTCAGCCAGTCTAGTAAAATTGAGTACAACTATAATTACTTTCTCTGCTATGGTACTAATGACTGTCTAAGGGAAGCTGCTTTAAAAGCTCTTCTTTAAGTTTATTTAAAACAAAATCAATATTTACCTCAGCTTTAATGGCTTCCGGTTGCAGTGGTTGGAAAGTGCCAGGAGGTTGAGGAGTCAGCGGTGGAAGCAAACCGTTCGACCTGAGAAGATGAGCCTGTATTTGCTGAAGATGAGGCCCCATTCCGGGATGGTGCATGCTTAAGGCTGGGCTCAGGGTACCTGCCATAATTTGAACTCATTATTATATTGTTCCATAAATATACTTCTACTTTATAAATACAAATTTACATAATAAAAAAAATTACAGGAGAAATAAAAAAAAATTCAAATTTACATAGTTTATTTTATTTTTTAATTTTTATTTCTTCATCGAGTGTGCCGTTGGGAAGTAGACTATGGGTTAAGGTATTGGTAGGCATGAGGGAGAGAAACTCCCAATGGTTTCCCTTCCTATCTTGATTTTAGTATTTATAGTTCAGTGAGGAGATCCCTCATCCAGATTCTTTTGAGCCTACTACAGGTGTTATTGGGCATGTTGCTTGTAGCCATGCCTTGAATCAGTGATTTCGTATGTCTGTGTAAGTTATTGTGAAATCTTTTGTAGTGTGTTCATATGTGGTTGTTAACTGTTGGAATCTGTAATTCTTTATGTAGAGTAATTTTTGATGTACCAGGAAACTTTGGTTATGATCCTGAAAGATTTAACTGAAGTAGTGACATATAAGGGTCTTTTTGGCAGTCCTGTATCTGTGAAGAGTATGTCCAGACAGACTTAGGTATTCAATTTCTGTCTAAGCTTTTGACATTTCTGTAAAATTTTGAACATCTTATAAGGAGTGAATATAACAGTTCTAGATTTAGATTTAGTGTTTTTGCTTGTTTTTATCATTATTTTATACAATATCAGTCAAAGATATTGAACACTCTGAGGAATTTGGACATTGTCAAGATAAAGATATGTAGAAATATGTTAAACAAATCTAACAAATTAAAATTGTCAAAATAAAGATACGTAGAAGTATGTTTTAAAAATCTAACAAATCAAAATAGTAAATCGTAGAACAAAAATGTGTAAGTTAATGAGTGCTAACTATAAATTAATTTATAGTACATAAAGCTTACCTGCCGAAAGATGGCCATAAGAACCGCTTGCTGCACTCGAACTTCTTGAAGCATTGACGATAGAGACAAGCGAGTTTGGCGAAAACCTTATCATTGAGTTGAGATCTAGATCAGAGTAAGGCGAGGCTGAGAGAGCTCTCTTCCTAGACTGTCGAGGGGGGCGAGGGCTGGCCAATCGACTGCCTATTTAATAAATTAGAAAATTTTAAGTAAATGTAAAACACAAATAAATAAACATTTCTGTAATTAAATGGTTTATAAATCTTACTGTCGAGTGGAAATGGTAATTCAGAACTGGTCAGAGTGGAAGGTGGCTGTTGAAGATCCGTCAAGGTGCAACCTCTTGGTGTGAGGTATTCTCCAGGCAGGCCTAACCCTGTGGGAGAAAAAAATAGATAATAATTTTTTCCTTAATAAAGTAGGATAAAATAAAAAGAAGTAGACAAAAAAATAAATTTTAAAATAAAAATTCAATCAGTCGTTTTGTATAACTACTTTCGTTGTTTATAAACATTAGAATAGTATTATGATTATTAAACACTACTAAACCATGAAGCATAAATCAGCTAAGAACTTAAGTAATTTAATTAAAGGTATTTGAATTTACATATAGGGGTTAAAATGTAATTATTTTCGGAATTCATGACATGAAAAATAATCTCATGCTTCAAACAATTTGATGTTGATAACATCAACTTTTCTCACTAAAGCCACATTTACAAATGCTACCATGGCAGCAACTGCTGCAGCCACTGGCATGGAGTAATATTAAGGATGTTATAACATTTACATACTGTCAGGTTTTGCTTGACTAAGGCTATCATGGAGGTGAAAGCTAGTATAATGTTTAATACTTGAAATTTATTTTATACAATTTCTTTAAGTTATTTTATTTTTGAAGGACGAACAAAAATGTATAATTTAAATTTTTAGCATTTAGTATAAATTTCTTTAGTTCAGTATTTAGATTTAATTTACATTCATTTTTTTATTTCAATTTATTTATTTTTTTGTTGTCTCTACCCTATAGGGACATTGGCAATGGCTTTTATTTATACTCTGTTATAGAAATTTATTCTTTTATAAATTCAAATGTTTTAACAACTATTTCACTGTCATTCAAGATTTCTTTTAGGCTTTCTGGCATGCCCAACTTATTTCTAACGGTTTCCAGTTATATATTTCTACTAAATTATTGAAGGAAGTTAGTCGACTGTTCTACATATCATGAGTGATAAATATTCAGGATACAGTCGTTTTTATTGGTACCGACGTTTCAACCCAAGCACGTGGATCATCAGGGTATGTTTTGAGCACTTTAGTTATTCAAGTACTGGCTCATTAAAATGACTGCATCCTGACTATTTATCACTCATATTCCTCCTAAAATATCTTATATATTTTTATGCTATAAACCTAAAAAAAACTTTTTTATATATTGATATCATTTATATACTTTATATATTGATTGAATAAATAATAATAAACCTCAGCTCGTTTAATAATTAAAGAACTTATAGTGCATTAACAAGAACAAAGAGTAGATATCTGGTAGCAACGTTAACAATGGGCCCACATCACTCCACCATATCCTTCCTGCCCTTAGCTATTGTCTAATTTCCTCGGCCCTAATATACTTATCTTAAGAAGATTTATAAAAAATATTTCTGAAGTAACTACACCTGTAACTGGCCTGATTCTAGTGTTTTTAAACATTTAAATATTAAATATATATGACCAAGCTATTGGAAAATTATCAAAATATTAATATCATCATTATTTTTTATTATTTATAAAGAAAGCATTGCTCATTTTTTCTAATATTACAATATTTTAACAAATCTGTGATTGGTGGTTTTGTAGGCACACTATGTAACTCGCTAAAAATCAAAATTATTTTAAATACATTTTCATTAATATATACCTACAATAATTTTAATTGCAATAATTACAAATCATTCCACAATTTTTATTTTTATTTTAAAATATTTTGATTCCAATAAATACAAGATAGAAGAAAGATAATAAGATAAATTTTGACTATAGGCCTTTAATTTTAAGAATCAGAAAAAAAATTGGTGCAACAGATTTTATTTTCACGATATCACAATATTAGAATTAGAATATCACAATATTATTTTTTATTTATTAAAGTATATTAAAAAATATATTAAATTTATAATTTACACAAAGACTATTTCATATGGACAAAATATTCAGTGTAAAATAGAAAACACGTTAGATGGCAGCTGTCAATACACTTACTCATTACATCAAAGTATTGTGGGCTTAGTATACGTTAAAGAATAAATAAATTTTAAAAATATACAATATTATTCAATGTTTTAATTTACATAGTATTAATTGATCAATATGAGAGATAGATTCTTCAATTCTATTAGAATAATAAAGAGATTAAACAAGTGAGTAAGCAAGTAATATAAGCATTGTAAGTTAAACCATAAAATAGTTTTTTATTCCTTTCGCATTGATAAAGATTATATTTATTTATTGCTTATAGTAAGAATGATATGTATTCAGAAATTTTGAATTTATAGTAAATATTTATACATAGAAGTTTTGAATAAAAAGCTTATAAAATGGTATATCTATGGCAGCAATAACAATGTATCTTGCATTAATCCAGTATCAGTTTTAGATATTTATTTGTGATTTTTTTTTTTTTTTAACTTTATGGATATATTATTTTTCATGCTCCTATGACTTGCTGTGCTTGAAATAATTATACTAAAAAAAAATCTAGATTAATAAAATAAAAAGTAACTTAATACTTCAATAAATAAAACTACACTGTATGATTTTTTCACTAAAATCTGTTAACTGATCGCAACTACCTCAGACATTACCATGGTGTAACTTGTACGACAGTACAGTAGTATGACATTTTCTTTCTTGATATTACTTCCGTATTATATCTGATTAATCTCTATATATCTTTTATATCTGATTAACATCATTTCTTATTATCCTCTACTCTACCTCAATGATACCCATACGTTTCCACACTTCCGTAAGAAACATGGAGTAATGTTTAATCAACATCTATTCTGGAATAATCACATTTCCCAAATTATCCGAAAGTCCATTGCTATCCTCAAACAGTTCCTGAGATATTCCGTGAAAATATTCCGTGACTCTATGCCCCTTAAAATTCGTCAGCTCCTAGTTTCCTTTCTCATTTTCTCTCACTTTGATTATGGCTGGCTTGTATACGGTGGACTGTCTGGTGTGCTTGAGATCAGATTAAAGAGGCTAATAAATTGTTTCATTAGACTTACACTTGGAGTCCCCAAGCGCTCCTTTATCTCCAGTTGCTATGCCGAGTTGACCTCTATACAGTTTTCCGACGGCAATATTTCCTAGGTGTATTCCTTTTTCGAATCTTTACAACCAAAAAACATTCTTCATTTCTTTACTCCTTGTTCCTCTGTTCATTCGTTCAACACGAGAACCTAATCTTCAAATTTGTTTATTCCTTCTCATAGAACTGTTTCCTTTAAAAAAATCCTTCGTCATACGTTTACCTCGTTTTGGAATTCCCTACCAACCTCTTTACGGAAATCCTCATCCTTGACCTCATTTAAACACAATTTATTTTTTCATCCCTTGCGTAATCAATCCGAATATATGTAAAATAAAGTTATTTTGTACTTTAGAGATGCCAGCTACACTATGCCGATATCTTGCAGATATCTATCTATGTATCACATTACATTTTCTACAAATACGAGAACTCTCCTGCATGAATTCGTCTTTAAATTTATATGTCTTCTTCAAGATCATATATTTACTAAAGTGTCTTTATTGTTAATATTATGAAAAATTTACATGCTTCTTTATTTTAAAATTAAGGTTAGCCAACTTTGTAAATTAATTTATTTTTAATTTTCATGCAATTATCCATAATCACCAGACAATTGGCATTTCTTTGTTTATTATAGTTATTCCGAGGGGACTAAATGTCCCAAAATAAAATTTACATTATTTCTTTAAACTCTTCAATCACACATCACAAACCTTGAAGAATGGTATCAAAACTGGAGAATTAAAATAAATTCCATCAAATTACCTTCACTCTTCGACGTAAACCAATGACTTCAGGTCCTACGGTATCGTTTAACAATTCCCAACTTATCCCTGTTGAACAAATCCGATATCTAGGACTCCATCTGGACAAACGACTCACTTGAAATCCTCATACAAGACTGAAACGACAAGAAACTGCTCGGCGGTTTCGACTACTCCAGCATTTACTAGACAAACACTCTAAACTTTCTATATATTACAAAAGACTCATATATATGACTATAATAAGGCCAATATGGACTCACGGAATTGAGCTTTGGGGCTCCACTAAACCGAATCGTCAATACTCCTTACTTTGTCACAAATACAATCATTCATAACGACCTTAACGTATCATATGTTTCCGATTTAGCCCAATCCAGATACCTATCCTTCCATAAAAAAATTCAAAACCATTCGAACCCTCTCGTTTCAAACCTTGCTTCCTCTTCAATACTTGATAACCAAGAAACGCGTCTGAAAAGAAGATGGCCTCGTGATTTGCTTATGTAAATATATTATTAGAGTGCTACCAATGGGTAGTTTCTCAACAAGCGTTTTCATGTGATTGCATTATTACCGTGTGCACATTAACTGGATGTATTTTTAAATTTATACAGTTGTGAATCTTATGAATAAATAAAACAACTTTCTTTCTTATTATAAGGTTTAGCATGATAATTGATAGTATATGTAGTGGAGTCGAAGTTTCTACGTTCTTTTTTATTTGTATATTTTTATCCAGCGTCTAAACAAGAATACTTTCGTCTTCACAGTACTGTCATGACATTATTTGCGAGAGTAGTCGCCGCGTTAACGGCTTAAGAATCTGAACCAGCTTTACTGAGACCGCAAAATACCTAAGTCAGTTAGTTCTAAAGTCTGATACTAGATGGTGCAGCCTATCAATTGGCTCTTTGAAATATGGTTCTTGGTGTGAACTCTGATCTTAAAACAATGTTCTGAGCTATATGCACTATTATTACGTCTACCATCACTTATTTCTCCACACGGTAACATACTTGAAGATTAAGATATATGGTTATAACTTACCATGCAGGGACGTCGTCGGGCTGGTATGGTGGAGGGACGAATAGAGTTCCATGTATGGGTTGAGGCGGTATGGTGGGTAGTCAGCGGGGCCTAACCGGCTACGGCTGAGGAGGAGGTTCAGGTCACCTCCTCCAGACCCCAACCTGAAGCAAAACAAAAAAAAAAAAAAAGTTAGTAATTATATAATTAAAATATAAATTATAAATAGCAGTAAAAATATCTATATTAAAACGTAAATGTTCGTTTGTTCAAAACTGCTAATCTCCGAAACTTGATCGGTTTGAAATATTAACATAATGCTTCTATTGCATTGAGGAGTGTTTTTATATACATTTAATCACTCTCCGGTCTTTCGTTTCGGAATGGCGACCCAAAACCTGTGACGCTATAGACTGTAGCGCCTAAACGGCTGTAACGAGTTTAATTAAACTTGGCTAAATTCTTATCCTTGAAGCCCTTTTAATTCATGAATATAACATCCTTCCTCGAAAAGATTATGAAAAAAAAGTTACGATGAGTTCAAAACTATATTTAATAATAACTCAAAAAGTACACAATGTTGTTTGATTATACCCATCATTATTTGAAAGCTTTCTTTATTCTCTGCAAATAATAAAAAAAAAATCTCTAAAATCGGACGATTTGGTGCAGAGATATAATGCTTTAAACATTTAGTCATTTTTCGTGGGAGATTTAGAGACCGATTGCTTCTTATATAGACAATTATATTTTGCAAATTCTAGAGTTGGAAAACCAGACAATCTCTATATCTATACAAATAATGTAACAACAAAGAATATCGCATATTCACTTTTAGAATTTATTTATCTTATTATTTCTAAAATATAACAATTGATCTTTTTTTTTTCAAATGGTTGTCTACTTGTTAACTGTAACTAGTAGTTAACTGTAACTACTGTTAACGGTTTTATATTATTTTTTTAAATGTTTATTTTAATCTTTAAATAATGTATTTAAATCTGGTAATAGGCTCAAAAATTATGTTGGTTTAATTCAGTAACTATTTTTTATAAATTTTTAAAATAATTAACTTTGGAATTTACAAATGAATAATTGAAAAACTGACACGAAAGGGTAACTTATTCTCGTGAGAAATTCATGATATTTATTTCGTTGATGTACTGCTGGTTTATATTTTATATAATAGTAAATTTTAAAGTCACTTAGTACATTATTGTAAATTTCGACGCAGTAAATGTATCAAAATAACACAAAACCGTTAACATAATTACACTATTTACACCAGGGGTGCCCATCCTTCCCCCACCTCTCCCAAGATATTTTATTCCTCTCTTCTTCTTAAAAACAGTACAAACGAAAGTAGAATTTAAATATTCATAGATTATATACAATTACACATCCTGCGGTCTGTTCCATGCTTCCACTTGTCTTTTAATTTGAAACTTTTCATTTTGAAAATTCATAACCCCATCAAAATGTGATCCCCTCAAAAATTGGAAACTCCGTCAAAAAGTGCCTACCTCATAAAGTTTGATGTCTCAACTTGCGCCATGAAACTTCCTTCTGGGCACCCCTGATTTACACGATGTTTTGATTTCACAGATGACAAATTCGTCAAAGTATTTTAATTTCATGAAATGTTAATGACATTTTTCAATAAACCAAAGGTATATTTATTAATAAATAGGAAATGTCACGGGAATATGATGGATAGAGCAGAAATGATTTATCTTTAACCGGCTACAGCTTTTTTCATAGCAAAAAAATAATCCAAAACGAAAACGTGGCAAAATTTTCTTCGTATAAGATTTAAAATGCCTTATTAGGAATAGGGAGAAATTTACTCAAGCAAAAAGTTTAAGTTTGTTTTGTTTATAACACTAGCAATTGATATTTCATTTCCTAATCAATCGAGATTATAGTAATTAGTTCCTGACTAGTAACTAATTAGTTTAGTTTCCGTTATTGTCAAAAATCTTGATACAGATTAAATTTTAGTAAACATGAAATGTAGATAGTTAGTTTATAGTTAAAACAGGCCTAACAAACCCTTTGGACGTTTGTTAAAGTTGAATCCTCGAGACCGAGCTGACACAAAAACAAAAGGAGCCGTAAGAGAGAAACAGACGGACAGACATACAAGAGCTACAATAAGAAGGACGCCAATAAAGCAGAGAGGGAGTGGGATGTGTCAATTAGTTGTGAAAAGGTGTTCTCTTTGTCGGCCCGTTTACAATGGCCATAAATGTTCCTACAATAAACCCAGGCTCCGACATCATATTCTCTTCTTCTGCGACTCCAGTCGTCTTCCAAGCGGTAACCGATTTCTCCAGCTCAGCGATGGAGGGAACGCCTTCAATATCCATCAGTTGTGGAACCACTTATTTGGAGCTGTTTATCATGTTACCGATCTTAAAAGCAATATTTTTCTAAACCTACTAAGCCAAAGTTAATTATACACTATTGCTATATTGTTTTCATTCATTAAAAAAAAAATTAAAAATTAATTTTTTCAATATTTAATTTGTTTCTCGCTTTCTATTAAAAGTTCTAATGAGATCCATCAGGATGTATAGCTTCATTTTTTAACATAGCCAAATGTTGAGGAAAAACTTCAGCACTGAAAACATAAATTACACTACAAATTTAACAGCAACTAGGTCAACATTACTTTGAGGTATTAAGTAAAATTAATTTTTGAATATCATGATAAACAAAAATAATAAGCATTATTTTTGATATATAAACAAATGTTTAATTTGTTTTTTGATTAACTTGAAAAACTAAACTTAGAAAATAGAAATAAAATGTAGGATTTTTATATACAAAATAAAATTTAATGAGTAAAGTGGGTGCGGGTAAAATTTGAATATTTATATTGTAAGATTTTAATAATACATAATAGAAATAATTTAATAATGTAAATTAAAAAAAGAAAATATGATGGAAACGATTAAATTGACTATGGAAAATGTTTAAATAAATGTAACCTTATTAAAGTATGTGACAAGGATAAAATAGCTTAAATGAATTTATATTATATTTTTTTGATTTCTATTAAATGTATTCTACTATTACAAATAAAATAATAACTTCAATAAGAAATTCAATATTTCCATTGGGGATTTTAGAATTAATATAGGTTAGCTCTAGATTCCTCCTATCTAGAGGTGCTTTTGACGGAAAAAGACAGAAAAAATAGACAAAAACAGACGAAGAAGAACTTTAGAAGAAGTGGAGGACCGGAGATTGTTTATTTATATTGGTAAAGTATATATATTGTTATATTAATAAATGACCAGTATGCTGTGCAAATTATAAAATAATATTAAAAAATGTTATAAAATAATAATATCAGTAAAATGAGAAAACAAATACACTATTCATTAAGTCATTCAGAATAACAAAGGTTAAAATATAGTTGTTTTAAAGCTGAGGTAATATAGAGGCTATAAATTTGTAAGTATACCGGAATATTATATAGTTTTATATATCCTTTACATAATATAATAATATAAGAATATAGTTTTAAGTGTTTAGTATATAAATTTATTTATTTTTTATATATAGCTTGTTTAACTAATATTTTCTTTTCTTGTTATTGTTTTATTTAGGGCAGATGTAGTCTTTTAATTTTGTACTATTTTGTTATTCTAAAGGGACTTTGTCCCAGAATAAAGTTATTTTCTATTTCTATTTCCATTAAACAAGGAATATTTACAATATAAAATGAACCCATATACTATACAATTTTTTCGTACGATACAACTAGTAATAATAATATATCATGTCACATCGCATTGCTCACATTAGTTGAATTGCAAAAGATTCGAGAAGCGAAGAATTAGTTTAGGATCGCAAACTACGGATGATGGAGCTACCTTCATTCGATGAATAAATATAACGCCAGTTTTTGAACGACATAAAAGCAGTCATATAATAAAAGTCGTCTCTTATTCTCATTTAATTGTTATGAAACTAATGCCCCCTCAGTTTTTAACTATTAGCATTTCTAGTTTAAGTTCTATATAAGTTACATTCAATATTTAGTTACATTCATTGATCACCTCTCTAGAAATATTCAGTGTAATTTCATCTTACAATGACAAAATATTTTATTGGCAAAATAGGACTTGCTTTTACAAGTCTTAAAGCCAAAAAAGAAAAAACAAAATATATATATATATATCTTTAACTTAAGTGAGTATATTTGGGATTATATAAATATGAGAGGTCAGCTACGAATTCCAACACACTTATACCACAAATTTTGACAGGTGACTCCTCTCCTTTGACGGAAGAATGAGACGAAGAAAACAGACGAAGAAGAACTTTGGAAGAAGTGGAGAACTGGAGATTGTTTATTTATGTAAGTGAGCCGAGAGACCAGGCCGATTTTATTATTCATGGTTAATTCATAAGCACCCCACCGATTTACGAGGAGCCCTAACTCAGGCCTCCACGCCAGCGACACAATTATTTTCCAGATAAATCATGGCGAGATAATTCCTTAATGTTATTAATAACATAAGCTCTACCCCTCGCCCACTAATAATATCGTCTTGTCTTTTTGTTTTAGTAATCCGAGGAGGTCGTCGTATCCTTATATATTTTATAAGTTGGAAACACGCTTGTATTCAGGGCCGGGTTGTTTATGAAATTGTTCGCATTTACTTTTCATACGAAGCAGAAAATTATTTCTATAATTTATACCTTATACATCGCTCAAATAATTTACATAAGCCCACTACGGCGTTACATCTGATGAACAACTTTGTAAGCTCTTAATTCAACCGCGAAAATTTATCATTGATATAAACCCTGATAAAATAAAAAAAAAATATATAAAATAAGTAACTCTTTAATATATTTATTCTCTCATACTATATCATGGTGTAATTTAATCCAGAAGGCATGTTTTACAACTAGAACGTGTCTCACATCCATTAAGTTATTTATTTAGTATTAAGTAAAAATAAAAACCGAGTTATCAATATAAAATATTATAATCAGGATAATTATTCAAGGATTCTAAATTATTAATATGAAGATATTTATTTATTTTTTAATTATTGGAGCATTTTATTCCGATTAAAAATATTTACGTCAGTTTATACATAAATTTAGAAATTTCCAAAAGTTAAGTTTGTGAAATTTTAGC